GGGCTCAGCTGTGTGCTTTGATCCCCTACATTTGATTTTCCCCGAAACGGCTGGCGATCCAAGCACATTTGCTCGCTGTAAGCCAACCGACCATAACCTGCATGCTTACACTTCTTTTTTGAGGGGTTCAATTGAGAACCGTTGCGCCCTTGACAACTCACTGCGAGTCTTTCTTTGTCTCCAGTGAGTCAAGATGGCTGTTTGGGAGACCGAGGATGAGTCCAAAGGCAACGCTGCCGTGACGGCGTTGCCAACACCACAGGACACGCCTTACAGAACACCATCACGAAGCTCGAGGAAATCCCGACGCTCCGTCACCCCGCCGAACGGGAAGAAGAGCCCTTCGCCTCCTCCCGTCCCACAGAACGACAAGGGCTCTAAACGTTCATCCAGAAATATGACCAACGACGATGGCATCAGCGTTCTCGACCCACGTCGTTTCACTCCAACCTTACACGCCAATCTCGTAGCCGAGATCCTGAACTTGAGGCGAGATCAGGAAGAAAAGGCGAAGCTTATCGAGAACCTAGAAGTATCCTTGCACGCCTCCCGCCAGGAGCAGGAGACACTTCAAGAGACAGTAGCCACCACAACAAAACAAAGTCGCTCCCTTCAGCGTCAACTAGCCCTTCTAGAAGGTGGTACCTCATCAGCACTGGGTGAGCTGGCCCGTGAGAGGGATGAGGCCGTCGATTCCATCACGGAAACGAGAAAGAGACTCGAATCCGCCCAGAAGAAGATCCGAAGTCAGGAAGAAGACTCTCAGAGGGTTCACGACCTTTGGGCTCAGGACAAGGACTCTTGGGAGGAAGAGAAGCGCAAGTATGAGCGTAGAGTCCACGTCGCCGAGAGCCGCTTGAAGGTGGTGATAGACGAGGTCGCCGCCTACCAGGCTGCACAAGTTAACGGCAACGGTAATGACAGCGAGACAGAGGATCAAAACGACGCGGGAAGTGTAAGGACTATGAGCCTGACTAATAGCGTCCGATTTTCCATGCAACAGAGCCCCGGCAAGGTCTTCAATGGAAACTCACTGGCGGACGAACTCAACCTCGATGGTGACGACGACTGGCAGACTGACGACGGCGGACGCGAGAGCGCCATGTCCAACTATCGCCACACACGAACATTCAGCCGCGACAGCATTCTGTCCAAGATTCACCGACGACAACAAAGCATGGAGAGCCCCCAGCGTCCTGGAAGCGTTACGAGAGGTAGACTTTGGATGAACCAGCCCGTCCTGGAGGCCCTGGAAGACGGGATTCAAGAGAACGACGAGGATCTGATGCCGCCTCCACCGCGGCCCGCTCCCAAGGTCAGCTACACCGACACCGGAATTCAATTCTCACCTCCTCCATCACCAAAGATGGAGCCTGTGAAGCCTTCGACACCGGAACCGGCTGCCAAGATCGAAAAGCTCACCGAAGTCGAGGCCTCCCCAAGAGGCGAGTGGGAAGTCGAGGCCAATCAACGACGGAAGCGAGTTCACGTCAACCGACCACTGTCGATCGAGCCGCGTCCTTTCAACCACATGGTCTCTGCTGGTTCTCAGACTGTCGAGGAGCCTTTGAGCCCCCCGAAGACGCCAAAGTCCCCCTACAGATCTTCCACCCCGCCTCCTCCGGAAACTCCGCCCGTGGTGATGGTTTCATCCTCGACTCAGACCGACAAACCGGTGGAGAGGCCTCAGACACCTCCCGTTCTGCGGCCAGTGCAAGAATTGACCATTCCATCCATCAGTATCATCCCGCCAACGAGTCGTCCGACTACACCACGCGAACACCGGCTTCCACAATACGTCAAAGACTTTGGATGCCAAGTATCCATTATTTCCTCGGCTCCCACGAAATCCACTGCTGTTCAGACTGAAGAAATCCTTTCTGATAAGAGGCTGGCGACATTACCTGTCCACCTGCGCCCCTCAGCTATCACGTCCAGGCCCTCATCGCCCAGCGTCGGTATCGCTACGGCCGTGACGAGTGATGACCCGCGCCATTTTACTCCAGTGCCGGGACATCTACCACCACGAAATCCTCGAAGACTCGCTACGAAGCGCAGCCTATCGGATATGCCTTCGTCACCGCCGGTCTCGCCAGTCTTTGGCGAGCAAACCCGCGACGCATACCCTGGTAACAATGATGACGGGCCACTTTCGAGAGAAGGCGCGCCTATGAGACGACCACACCGCATCAGCAGTCTGTTCGCCGGCTTCCAAGATGCCCAGAGCTCCGATGAGGTGGACGAATTTGATGCTGATGTGAGCGACTCTGAGTACCGAACCGCCCTTTCCGCCCCTGGCATGAGAATGACGGACTCCCGAGCCTCCAACCGCACATCTGTCAGTACCTTTACATCACCGGAACAAACGAAGAGGTCAGCCCATAGCAGGAACTCCATGCGCCTCGCAAGCGAGAGTTATGGAGGAAATATGGAAAGCAGAGAAGCACCCAAGAGGCAGTCTGCCAAGCCTACGACCCGCGGGTATGAGAAGTCTACCGCGGGACCTTCGGGCAAGAACGTCATGCGGAAGGCTGCTATGATCCAGAGCGGGATTGCCAGCCACCAAGGCCGTCCTAGAAGCCCGAGCGTTCCAGAGTCTCGCGCTCCCGACCCTCCTTTCCCCATTCCTACCAGAGCTAGCTCTCGGCGACCGCCATTCAGTGCCAGCGCTCCGAGCGATGGCCAACGAAGCCCAACGAAGATGGACGCACCGTGGCATCGCCGAGGCATGGGCCGTAATCACTACCGTGCCGGCAGCATCCATCGCGCCAACAGTATACGTAAGGTGCGATCAGCTGCGGCCCTTCCTCGTAACCAGAGAAATCGGAAGCAAAGTAGGTCCCCGCCGCCCTTCTCGGAGACGACCGAAGCGCCGGAGAGCCCCAGCTTGCCTCCTCTTCCGTACAACGACATCACCAGCCCTCGGTACGACACCAGTTCCAACTACCGGTCCCACAAGTCCAGGCTGTCGACAACAACGGCACAGACGGCTACCACCGATGTCAACTCTGTCGGTGGTGCATCCAACGGCGCCTCGCAAGCCACGGGCGTCGTCGATGCCATTGCGCAGACCATGGTCGGTGAATGGATGTTCAAGTACGTCAGGAGACGCAAGTCATTTGGCGTGCCCGATAACAGCAAGGACGACTCAAGCAACGACCGCCACAAGCGATGGGTTTGGCTGGCTCCCTATGAGAGAGCTATTCTCTGGAGCAGCAAGCAACCTTCATCTGGCAGTGCCCTCATGGGTAAGACTGGTCGGAAACGTAAGTACCCTATCTTGACTTAGCGCAAGCCTTGACTAACGTGAAGCAGTGACCATTCAGTCTGTACTTGATGTGAAGGATGACAACCCCGCCCCGAAGAACCAGGGTGCAGTTTTCAACCGTTCGATTCTCATATTGACTCCGCAAAGAGCGTTGAAGTTTACGGCTACGTCTTCTGAGAGGCACTACGTATGGCTGACGGCGCTTTCATTCCTGGCACACTCGACCCAAGCAATCCCTGAAATCGTCGCTGCTCCCCAACCTGCGAAACCAACCACGGTACCGGACTTTGAACCACCGCAACCTACCAGGCGACCTGGCATTCGTGATTCCATTCGACTGACAAAGAGCAAGGCCCCCTCGATGAAGAATCCCGGACCGCGAAGTATTCCAAGTGTGCCCAGCATTCCTAGCATCCCCTCTTCCAGGACAGGCGACGCCTCTGGCTACAAACAAACGGAGGCATTCCCGCCCATGCCGATCAATAACAATAGCAGCAGCAACAACAACAATAACAACCATCAACGTGAGCGATCTGGAGACGCAGCGGAACCCCCATTCATCCCTCGGTTCACAGAGCGCTCGAATCAGAACGCGGTCCACGGACGGAAGCGAAGCAATACCGGAGGTCACGTCCCGCCTCCGCTGTCTTTCCGTGGATTTTCCGGGCCAGGCAGCGTTGGACAGCACAGCTACACCAACAGCAATGCTGGCAACAGCGTTGGCACTGCCGGCTCATCTGATATCTACCAGTCCCAGCCATCTCAAGGCTCAAGCAGGCAGAGTTGGGGTATGAGTACCGCCGGCTCTCAGCGGACGTCGGAAGCCTCTTCAAGACCCCCAGGTGCCAACTTCTTTGATGCCATTGGTACCGTGCGCATGGAGGCCTTCATCAGCCCGTTAGCCCACTCAGGCTTTGACAGAGACCCTGACGAGTACGAGGAATACGGATACCGGGCTCGTAGGCGCAGCAAAGAGCTTCGAAGACGGCAGAGTCGTAGCCGTCACCGTGACAGCTATAGCTCTCGCGGTACGCGCGGCACAGACGGCTACCATGGCAGTAGCCGAGCGACCGTGGAAGATGACTACTTCCGAGATGACCCTTTCAAAGGCTTCTAGGTGAGAAGCGGTCAAGTCCATTACATTGTCCCTTGTCGCGAAAGGTTTGGATCAGCCGGAGCGCGCGGGATTGCATTCATTCGATACGATACCCATTGTGTACTATTTCTCATGTGTAATCAAGGTGTGGGGTGGCGAAACAGAACTAGACCCCTGTGCCACCTTGTGGACGGAGTTGGTAGGATAGAAAGGCGATGGCTGCCGTCGGCAGGCTAAGGAGATGTCATCATGCCTGGTTTGGCCAGAGGGCCGCAGGCTCTGATGGTCTCAGATGCTGTTGGGGATGTACGATGTAGGCAAGGTAGTCAGCAATGTGGTGTTGATTTTACCTTTGGTAGTGTAGATAGGTCCTTCAGGACAGACGGCTAGTCAATCAAAAACTGTTAAATTTAATGTTCGATCCTGATGGTGAAGCAAGCTTGGTTGTGATGCCTGAAAACCTGACGAGTGAGAAAGTCTGCTTCCTGGCGGCCGTTCGCCGAGCGAGTGGTGCTCGGGCGAAGTCGAATTACGGGCCGCTCTCCGGGGGCACGCACCGACCCCGCACCGCAAGTAGCGAACTTGAACCCCCACCAAGAAATTTCGCCCCTCCATTGCATTCCAAGCTCAGAGCTTCCAGTGACAACACAGTTAGAAGCTTCGCATTTTTACCCTTTTGACGCTGCCAATTTGTTTCCCACCTGGTTGACCCAAGACCTCGTAGTCAGCGGAGTACAGATCGAGGCGCTCGATTTCTCCTGTGAATCATCTCAGTCGGGACTGGATCGCAAATACCCCCCCGCCTTTGGCAAACGTCACACAGCGGTTCCTGTGTCCACGGACATACCTCGCGAGACACCTTCCTCCCATACCCATCCTGTGCGAACCTGCTCCGACCGAAACCGAACCGAATCCGAAATACTATCTTGAGGAAGACGGGTGCTTCACGAGGAACAGAGACGGAAAAAAGCCATGGAGTCCGAAACGCTGGAGCAGATGCAGACGCGGCACCGCAAGGAGCAGCGCGACCTCGTGGGCCGGATCACGAGCAAGAAGAAGAACGCGACTAAAAAGACGCGCAAGGGCGTGAATGACGAGTGCGCTGAGCTGGAGAGGCAGTTGAAGGCGAAGCATGAGGAGGAGGTGGCTGAGTTGTCTGGTGGTGGTGCTGAGGAGGTTCAAGACGACGACGACGACGAGACTGCCGAGGTTGCGGAGAAGTTGAAGGATACCACCATTTCCGAATCCGAAACGCCGATAGGAGAAGAGAAGGAACGAACACAAATACAAGGCCAAGGTCAAGGGAAGAAGCGCAACAGACAAAAAGAGCGCCTGGCGCGGCGGGCGGCCGAGGTCGAGGCCGCGGCGGAGAAGGCGCAGGAGGAGGCGAGCGGAATGACGGACCACCGGGGCATCGAGAAGACGTACATGCTCAAGGAGTTTAAAGCCAACGGGCTCGAGGAGAAGGAGATTGCGCCGGACGGGCACTGTTTGTTTTCTGCTGTGGCGGATCAGTTGCGGCAGCAGGGGATTCCACTCGCCAGTGCTGAGGAAGCGAGTAGTGGTGGTGACCCGACGCAGAAGCTCCCGTACAAGGTTGTGAGGAGGGCGGCGGCGGAGTACATGACGGCGAACCCGGACGATTTTGCGCCGTTTTTGGAGGAGGGGTTGGAGGGGTACGTGAGGCGGATCCGGGATACGGCGGAGTGGGGTGGGCAGCTTGAGCTTGCGGCGCTGGCGAGCGTGTATGGGGTTGAGATTCGGGTTGTGCAGGATGGGAGGACGGAGAGGATTGGGCCGGCGGCGGGTGGTGGTGAGAGTGAGGAGAAGAAGGAGATTTGGTTGGCGTATTATCGGCATGGATATGGACTTGGCGAGCATTATAATTCTTTGCGGAAGACGACGGCGTGAGGGGCGTATGTGTGTAGTTCGATTAGAGGGTGGAGGGTATGGAGAAGACTATATTCTCACGTTTTGTGTACGTGGAGTTTTTGGGCATTGCATGGCACAGGCATACATCATTGACGGAACAGAGAAAACTATCTATAACCAGAGATATGTGCCGTCATGGTTGTCAGTGACTCCAGACGTGAATCCAATCGCGGACCGAGCTATCCTCATTCATACCAGCGCGATGCGTCCTAGCAGGCTTGACGAGCGCCAAGCGCTTCAGACCGGCGGTGCCTTCCCCGCCGTCCTCGTTTGCGGCCGGGGGGAAGACGACGACGTCGGCCTCGTCGCCCGCTAGCGTCGAAGACGAGAACTCGAGGGGTTGGCCTGGGCGGGTGAGTAGGGCGAGGTAGATATCTGGGTTCAGGCCCCACGGCGGTCCCGGCTGGGAAAGAGGTTTGCCGGACGGGAATTCGAGACAGATGAGGCGGCCGGTGGTGGGGTTGAGGAGGGAGGACATGCGGGCTGACCATTGGGGGCGTGCTGTCGGGGGGAGGGCGCAGAGGAACTTTGGATGGTTATTAGTTATTTACTTTTTTCTCATGTTCTAATTCCTCTTGGCCATTCCGATTGAAAGCCATTGAGAATCGTGAGACTTACAGTGTAATCAAAGATGAGATCAAACGTATTGTCCTCGCGAGGCCAGGCCTCGAGCCACGAGTCGGAGAAGAAGTCGCCCGAGAGCCACGTCACGGAACCCGGTTCGGCGCCGTTTGGTTGGCGGATGGCGTTCACGTCTGGCTCTGCTCCGTCTCCATTACCGTCCCCGGCCGCCGCCGCAGCAATTATAGCCTTTTGATTCTCCTTTGCCTCGGCGATGGCGGTGGGCGAAAAGTCGAGGCCGAGGACGTCGTAGCCTAGGTTCGCTAGGAGGAGGGCGTCGTGGCCTTTACCGCACCCGGGGACGAGGGCCGTGGGCTTCTTCTGCTGTTGTCCTGCGGGCGATGTGGCAGGCGGAGGCGGGATGAGGTCTGGACGAGTGGTGATGATGTCCAGTAAGGCTAGGGACGGCCCGCCGCGGTCCCAGGGGGTGAATTTCTCTTCCCAGAAGGCGGACCATTTCTGGCCGTGGTTTTCGAGGGGTGTGTTTGCGAAAGCTGTGGATAGCTTGTTTGGGTCGGTTGCCATGGTGGGCTGGCTTCTTATACTTGGAGTTGTGAAGGGAGTGTGATGGGGGACTTGGTGTTGGGGTTGGGCGGTGCTTCGGTAAAGTACCTATCTGGTGAATTGTCTTGACAGGATTGTGAGGTTTCAGCGGGTTTCTGAGAATAATTAAACAACGACTGAATACGAAGTGGTTGGTAATCCAGTAGTAAAAAACAGAATGAAAATCGCCAGATGAGAATGAAGTCTTGAATCTAGGTAGACCGGAGCTAGCGAGGTCCAATCTAGTCCCCGAGGACCCCGCGCTGTATTGTGGATGTGGCGCAAATGCCCCGCGCTGGAGAACGGCGACGTTGATCCCTGTCGCTGCCAGGGACGCATCCCGAATGTTTGGGATAATACCTCACCTAACCCAAGCTTACCAAGCCATTTTCAACCATGTGACTCCTGGCTGCAAGGCGACGGATGTGCTTGTGTCGTTTTTCTTCTCTCAGCTGCATGTCCTGACGTTTCGGCATAGGGATGGAACTTCAGGTAAATATCGCCATTGTGAGAGATGGGTGTGCTACACAGCTTTGCTACGTTTGAGAATGGCGACTCATCGTGAGTCGAACATGGCTGTTGATTTCGTGTAATGTGAAGTAATGTGTATAGGTGAGATTTTGGATATTGGGGAAAGGGTCGTGGCAAGAAGCTGAAGAGGACTCATCAACTGAGTCAATGCCGAGCGTAGATACAGTCGGTCAGTCACTCTACCTTGATGAATTCGTTGAATGCTCGATAGAACGTTCCTGATGGATCCAGAGCCCATGAGTGATTTAGGATCAACCGTGATTTTAGCATGTTGGTATACGGCTCTAATATTACCCGCGGGAAAAGTAGATGTGTGTGGTCATTTCACCGATAATCTCAGGTGTGGCCCGGCGAGCCTTTTCGGAGACAACCGCCGAATCCCACGACTCAGGCGGGGTCGCCCCCCGTCCGGAGGGCGTCAGGTAACCGCCCACCACAACCAAAGTCCCGATCCCGGCGTCGGAAGTCCCTATGCCTTTGCCGCTCACGCCCTCGCGACACGTCTCACCTCAATCTCAATCTCAAATATCTCACACATAAGACGCCCGTCAAAGCCCTGGCGTTCTGCTCTCCGTAGCCTCATTTCTTCTACTTGAGGCTTTCGGCATTTTCGCCAACACACTCACTTACCTACTTGAGGTACACACACACACACACACACACACAGAGCAAAAGCAGCTCCGTTCATCGTGAGCAGAACAAATCCGAGAGCCATGGCCGACCTATCAACCTGCCTACCCCTAACCCGGGCCTCCGTCGTCGAAGCCCACAAGCTCGTCAAGCCGCACGTCCACTACACCCCCGTCCTCACCAACAAGACCCTCACGGCGTTGGCGTCGACGCCGCGGGCACCCGAGGACCTCAAGGGCACGAAATGGGAGGGGCGCACGCCGGCCAAGCCCGTGCTCCGGCTGTGGTTCAAGTGCGAGAACCTGCAGCGCATCGGCGCCTTCAAGGTCCGCGGTGCCTTTCACGCCGTGGAGAGGTTGAAGCAGGAGCCCGGGTGGGCTGAGGGCGGCGGTAAAGAGAAGGGTGTTGTTACGCATAGCTCAGGTATGGATGCTTCTCTGTTTCCTACTCAGTGAACAAACGAACAAACATAGGAGACTATCTCGATGTGTATTTCTTGATTTCAACAGAACGTACTAACACCACCACCAGGAAATCATGCTCAAGCCCTGGCTCTCGCCGCCAGAGAAAGCGGCATCCCAGCACACATCGTCATGCCGGACATCTCCCCGCCCAACAAGATCGCCGCGACGCGCGGCTACGGCGCCAACGTAGTCTTCAGCGGCAGCACCAGCGTCGAGCGCGAGGCCGTCGCCGACCGCATCATCTCCGAGACGGGCGCCCGCCTCGTGCCGCCCTACGACCATCCGGACATCATGCTGGGCCAAGGAACGATGGGCCTAGAGCTGCAGGAGCAGGTGCGCGATCTCCTGGCCGCGGGCCACTCCGCCGAGAACCCTACCTTCAACTCTACGGGCCTTCCCGTAGCTGTATCGAATGGTGATGACGGAGAGAAGAAGAACAAGGGTCTCGACGCGATCATGACCCCTTGCGGAGGCGGCGGCATGCTCTCCGGCGTAGCACTCAGCTGCGAGGGGACGGGGATCAGGGTGTTCGGCGCGGAACCCGAGTTCCAGGGCGCGGACGACTGCAAGCGCGGCTTCGAGAGTGGGAAACGCGTCGAGAGCGTAAAGACGCTGACGGTCGCCGACGGCCTGCGGACGCCCGTGGGCAAGCACCCGTGGTCCGTCATCTACGAGCGGCGGCTGGTGGAGAATATGTACAGCGTATCCGAGGAGGAGATCAAGGCGGCGACGAAGCTCGTTTTTGAGCGGTTCAAGCTCGTGGTCGAGCCGAGCGGTGCGGTGCCGCTTGCGGTGGCGCTGTTCAATGAGGATTTCAGGGCCATGGTGGAGAGGGAGGCTGGTGAGGAGGGTTGGGATTTGGGGTTGGTGTTCAGTGGTGGAAATATGGCGTTGGAGGGGCTCATGAAGATTTTTGCGGCGTGATATACCTGGAGGTCGTTTGAGTAGAGCTTGGTTTGGTAGAGGTGTGTTCCGGATGAGCTTCTGGGGATGACTCCCGAGTTCCCGATGTTGGTTTATCATCTACGAGATGGCGCTTACAAACCTGATTGCTACGAGGCAAGACTTTCCAAGGCAAAGAAACATGATGCAGCAGGCTGACCTGTGATGCTTCTTTATCCATTTGGAGAAGGACTGTCCTTTGTCTCCTCTCTCTATCCGATTGATCATGGCATTCACACAACTTGCATCGATCCGAAGCCATGTCTTTGTCTTTTCAATGGCACAGATCCATACAACCCCCCCCCCCCCCCCCCTGAAGATAGTGAGGGCGCTTGAGCTGCATATATAAATAGGGGATCGACAGACCGTTCATACTTAGCTCTCAGCACAATTGAGCAGTGCATGGGGTTCGTGGCCCCAGTGCGTAAGTCTGAATCCCTGGTGCCACATCGCTATAAACGTGCAAACAGTCACATCGCCTGGCAACCTAAGTGCAAAATCGGTTAAAGTCTCCTTACTACGACACATCCGTTCTCCGTGACGTAGTCCACGACGAATACGGCCCGCGAAGCGAGAGAGTGAGTACCTTCCTCTCTGCCCGTTCGTTCATGTTCTCTTATAAATAGTACATAACTCATACAGCCACCGAACCATAACGGCACCTTTCATTATTGCCTATTGGTTCTCCATTACGTAGTACACAACGAATATGACCAGCGAAGTGGGAAAGAAACTTAAGAATAGGAAAGTTTAATTCTGAGATTCGTTGTCGGGGCTCGTCCTAGGCTTTCATGAAGTCGTTTCCACTCTCCGAGACCTGACACCCCATACAGACTGGCTGCATGGCCCAGTTCCTGCTCAACCCCGCTGTGAACGTCTGTCGTGGGTAGTGTAAAAACGAAGTCCCTGTTCCTCAATACTTCCTTTTTACTTCCCAGCCACCTCTCTCAATAATCGAAACGTGGGAGGTTTGCTTTCAAGTTGGTTACTGGGACTCTCACTGGGTCTTTGTGAAGTTGCTCTTACTCGTTAGAACCCGAGACCCGATACAGCTGGCTATATGATGCGCTTCTTACTCAACCCCGTTATGTGCGTCTGTTGTAGTGAGTGTAAGAGACAAAGTCCCGTTTTTGAGGCTTTTTTCCCCCTTTCTAGCCAGCTCTCTCAAGTATAAAACGGAAAAAGCCTTGTCGCTCCTCAAGCAGTTATATTGACCTTGAGTTAGTGCCTACATGCCAATCATGCATGGTGGCGGCGGTCCATAAGGTGGCGGCCTAAGCATGGCTTGCCTTGTTAAAGAGGCAGGAGCGTGAAGAGTCCGGGCATTGTAGTCTCTTCGCTCCTTTCTCATAGTCCTTATCAGAGCTGGCAGTCTCATTGCCCTTCTTATTAAGGACATTGGTAGGACCATAACAGTCTTATCCTTACCGGGCTTTGGATTCCTCTTTGCTAGTGTGACCGAGTCATCAACGCAACCTTACTATTCCACGAATACGTAAACGAACAAACGTGAAGAATGGTAAAGAGATGTGTTCTGATAGTTGAGGACGATCTCATAAGTACTAGTTAGATCGGAGGAACCCTAGTGTCGCCTCGACCTGGCAGCATGAGCACTAAATGAAGTAACAAATGAACTAATTACCAGCAGTACGCGTAAGACAAGGGCTATAATGATGCAAAGCCTCCACGGCTTTCTGCTCTCTGTTATTAAGATACAAGATGTTCCGCTTTCCCTGAAAAAGCGCGACACGTGATCTAGAGCACAAGCCAATGACTAAAGTTCCCTTCCCTGAGACGCGCAGTGTGTGACGGTGATCCTCCATGCCCAAGTTAGTCCATTCTCCTCCTTTAATGATAGTCCATGACATGAAATCGGCCTATAGACAGAAATCACACAGAACCTTAAGCACAAGTCACGAAAGTCATTTCTCTTTCCTCTACTAGAGAACGACACGTCAAGAGCTATTCCGAGGGAGATCTAACATGATCTAGAGCACACATACATAAACAAAATGAACCCCTCCCAATACGTATACCATCAATGACACCCACGTAATAGTGCCATAAGATGGGAGCAAGATGACTAGCCACCAAAGAACAACCTACGAGCTATGAAAATTACCTTCCTTCTTCTCCTCCGTGCTTGAGGTAATATAAACAGTGGCTTTCCTTCATCCCATAGCCATCTAGCTAAATAACCACTCAAGATACACAGTTACAAACACGTGCACAAATACACAAAACACACCCTTGTCTAACATCAACTATCCCGCTTCAACGTATCCGCCCACGACCGTCACCGAGGCTGGAAACGAGGTACAACAGACGCCTTGGACCTAGCTCAGTCTTTCCTTAACTGGGAAGAAAAAAGGCCAGGAAAATTAAGAGCCACAAAGGGGTACCACATTCCAAGACCACGGAAGGTAAGTTTGAACCCCTTGGGACAAGCAATCGGCGTCTATCTCGGGCAGACCATACTTTACGTTTAACGTGACTAAGGAAAACGGCGTAATATAACGTTGCTCGGAACTCCCAAGAGTTCTAGAATCTACCAGAAACTCTGTGTGGTACCTTGCCATTTGACCATGCCTTGATATCTTCTTACAGAATAACAACCAACCTCTCCTTCCAAAGCACGGGTCGATGGGGTGAAAATCATTCTTAATTTGTTGATTCTTTAATAGTCTGATTGAAGCAGTTGTGGCAAACTTCCTCTTATAACTCCCCTACCTAACACCCGACTCTACCTCACTAAAATCAGAGTCTGTACGTCTCCAAAAACACACACGCTTTGCAATTCCACAAATCGCTTGCCATCCACCCCTCTCACCCCCCGACGCCGAGCTCCTCAACCTTGCCTACGCCCGCCGGTGCTCATCAGTGTAATCTTCTGCTTCTTCTTCTTTCCCTTACCAGCTCCTCCTGATCCACCGCCGCCATTGTTGCTGCTACTACCGGCCCCAAAGGCGGCACTACTGCTAGAGGGACCGGGCTCAGTCATACCCAAAGCCTCCATCTGGAAAGAAAGCTCTTGAGGCCCCCACAAGTCTTCATCCTTGAGCCACCCGTCGTCAAGTTGACGCATTGAAGCCGGGGCAAGCTCTGGGGACCCAGGCACGACAGAAGTGCCCCAAACGGTCTTCTGCGTGGAAGGACTCGTAGAAATGGTTGCAAGATGCTCGAATCCCGGTCGTGGATCGGGCGGCGTAGCGTTGGCGTGGCTCGATAGGGGCTGGAACTCTTCCAAGTTCAACGCAGGAACGTGGTCCTCTTCGATCGGTCCATAATCTCGTCGCATAGCCGCGGTACTCTTGAACTGGGCAGCCTCAATCCTTTCGGACTGAAGCCTCTCACGTTCTTCCTGTACGGCCTTGTCACGATTCCGCTTTCTCCGCCGGCCGATCTCATCAGCGAACTTTTCGAGGACATCCGCCGACACAATGTCTGTCCAATCGCATTCTAAGAAACTGATTCGGCAACCATACGGAAGATGACCCAAATACTTGGCCCGCTTTCTCTGTACCTCATCTAGAACATGGCCTGTCGAAATGTGCTCGACGCGAGGCAACAACGTGGATGGAAATGCAGAAAAGTCGCCATATTTCGTCTTGAGAATACGAATATCGAGAGCTGATAGGTAGAGATGCGGCTGTGATGAGTAGAAGTAGAAGTCAGGTTGAACGGTCTTGTTCTGGTTGCCCAGCTTCTTATTTGGCAGCATGGAATCGTTCCTGCCGAGGTCTTGGACCTTCTCCTTCGCCGCATCAATGGCCCGGATCGCCTTCTTGGTCCATTCATCGTCGTCGTGGTAAAGAAGTTGGTCCTCGGTTCCCTGTTTGCGCAGCGCCTCAATCTCTTCGTTGAATTGCTCCAACATGTAGTCTCCAGTTCCCTTCATGATCCTGGCATAATCCAGAACATTGGCTGCAAAGTGCCAGGGCACGTCGTCCGACACATTGAGCGCGTCAGAGCCATTCTCCCAGGGCAATGCAAGGGTTGACTTGGCTGTCCGGGCCATGAGACGTAGGACAACGTCATCGCCAACTCGCGGCAGAGGGCTCTCCTGGCCCGCATAGAAACGCACAGGCCGCGTCTCGTGAAGGTAGACGCTGTCTTCGCAGAGCGGACATTTCTTCCACCTTGCACCTTTTCCATGCTTTGAGTCCTCATCTGTCGAGTTCATAAACCGAATCAGACATGGAAGGCAGAAAATGTGACCGCACTTTGCCATTCGTGGCGCCACCGGTTCTGACAGGCAGATCGGGCAACTAGCCCCCTGCGACTCGGATGAGGCCAAAATCTGCAGGACGTTATTCCAATCGATATGAACATCGGCGTCAGCCGCTTGGCTAGCGTAATTGCCTTCCGGTGAGACGACAAATCTGTAATTCGCATGCACGTATCTCGCCTTGTCTACGGCATGGTGTCCCGAGCCAGGCCCCCAAGTCGGATTCCGTCTATAATTCCGAGCATAAGAATGATGATCCGCGTAAGCACTCGGCGGACGGCTGTAGTTCAGAAGGTGTGTAATTGAGGTTTGACCTCGTCGACTGTTGGCATTCCCTATGGCCCGTATCTCGGCCATAGCATCGTCATCGTCTGGGTTCGCGTGTCTGGCGTCGCCAAGCCCCGGTCTTCGCTGCATCTTGTGTTGCTTCCGAGAGCCCTGACCCTTCCGGGGGGCTGCGTGTGGGAATGAAGGACTGGGTTGGGAGGGCCGGCGATTGGATTCGAAATTCGCGGTGACGGGACCAGGCTGGATCGAAGGCGAATGGGAAGTCGATGCTGAAAGGGACTTGCCCAAGTTTGACGAAGTCGAGCTCATATTCGGGTACCCGGATATCGTAAGGGAACGTGACGCAACAGCTTGTCCGCTGGCGGAAGCTTTGATCGATTCGATCGGCCCCCTGTGGCCAATGTCGTGATGCAATGCGGCGCGAGCGAAGGGAACGAAAGGACGGATCGGGGGTTGCCACTGCAGGCCAACTGACCCAAGGCTATCTGAACAAAAACAAGTATATCGAGGAGGAGAGAGGCAAAAAGAAACTTGAACGCTTCGGCTGAGGTGCTATGGTTAGATGAATGAAGATGTTGAATGTAGAAGAAGACGGGGTCCAAAGTGGACGGACCCCATTAGTGACGGGTGGGGATCAGGTAATCGGATGTCGAGAGGATGCCGCAGCTGTAGCAGTAGCAGTGCGTAGAGTCATTGGCGGGGCAAATCGAAGTTGCCGTGACGCTCTTGAGGGAAAGCTCGGCACCCGGAAGTACGTACTGGGATGTCCGAACGGCTGGAATTGTCACGTGACTCGGTCGCCTCCGTCGGTTCCAGTCACGACTCGAGGTCTCTTGCGTGCATCGATTGACTTATTTCGTTTGACGTGCAGTACACCTGTGCCTGGCACCTGACGCGTTGGCTTGATGCGACGAATCAAAACGGCGTGTCAAGTCACAAGTTACCCCATTGGACTTTACCATAAGGTAGTAGGCACTTATCAACCTTTTTCCGTGGTAACGACTTCATCCATAACGTCAGTCAGCAGCAGGAGATATCCTATCCAAGTCACATGCCTCACCAGTAGTCAGTCACCAGTGTTCAGTACCTCATTGTATTGGCTCAATTGATCATATGCAAATTAGGCTCGAACGAGGTATTATGGTACAGGATAGTCCGATGCAGATGAGCCATGTGAAGTACCAACAAAAGGAGCAAAACTGAAAGAGGCGGCAGCCCACATCATCCTCAATTAATTCTAGAGGCCAACAGAAATGGCCGTACTTCCAACATCGACGACATACAGCTGCCATGCCTCATTCTACCTCTCGAGCTCTTGCACATGCAAAGTGGACCAGGGGAATCATAGAAACGACAAACAACCCAAATACGCAGCACCCGACAAGAAAATCCACAAGAGCCGAGGCGAAAGACAATGCCTCCCATCCACATACATCCTAACGGCGAACATCATCATCATTATGCCGCTTATTTGCTGTGCACCTTAGCCTTGAGCTTGCCGATGAAGGCACTCAGGCGGTTCTTCTTCTTCTTCTCGGTGCCCGAAGGGCTCTCAGTGGCCTTGGTGTTGCTCGGTGTCGTTGACTCGGGAACGGAGGACGGGGCCTTGGCAGGGGTGGTGGGAACTTCGGGCTCCTTGGTGGAGGTGAGGCTGGCGCCGTTAGCACCGTTGGCGGTGGTGTGAACACCGTTGGCACCGTTGGCCTCCTTTGTAGAGTCATCCTTGGTGACAGCAGCCTTAACCTCCTCCTTAGCAAGCTTAGCCTCCTCCTTGACGGCCTCAGTCTTGGTCTTCTCGCCCTCCTTGACTTCCTCCTTGGTCTCCTTGACCTCCTCCTTGGCAGCCTCAACCTTGGGCTTCTCGGCCTCGACCTTGGTCTCCTCACCGACGGCGGGGACAGGCTTGACCTCCTTGAGGAGCTCAGCCTCGACCTCCTTCTTCTCGATGACAGCCTCGGTGTTGGCGGCGGCCTCGGGGCTCTTGCCGGCCTCGGCGATAGACTCCTTGACGACGGTGGGAACCTCGGGAGCGACCTCCTCGCGGGTCTCCTCCTTGGTCTGACCGCCGATGGTTTCCTGAACACTCACAGGCAGGCTCTCCTTGACGGGCTCGGGGAGCTGAGCAGCGGCGTCAGTGGCAGCAACTGTAGCCTGCTCAACGTGAGGAGCAGCAGCCTCGACGACAGTGTCCTTGGCGTTGATGGCGGCGGCAGCGACGAGACCACCAACAGTGGCAGCGGTGGCAACGACGACACCAGCAGCCTCAGTCTTCTGAGTGCCGAACCCGGCGGTGCCCTCAGAAGTCGAGGGAGCGGTGGGGACCTTCTCGAGGAGCTCGTCCTCAACAACGGCCTTCTCCTGGACGGCCTCGGGGTTTGCGCTGGCCTCAGGCTCGGCGTGTGCCTTCTCTTGGCTTTCCTTGACAATTTCGGGAACCTCGGCAGTCTTGGTCTCGAGAGGAACCTCGGCGGCCAGAGCAGCGGTGGTGGATGTGGGTGCGGCGCTGTTGATGGTGGCATCCGCGGTCGCAATGGGCAAGCTGGACTCGGGGATCGTGTAGGCGGTAACCTCAGGAACGGTGGTCTCCTCCTTGGAGAGGCCGGGGAGAGCGCTAGAGTCCTCGTAACCCTCCTTGTCAAGCTTGACGTGCTCGTTGATATCGCCAGCCTTGACAGACGCGGGAAGGGGTTCGCCAGGTGCGACGGTTACGGGCTCAGCGGTGACATCTTGGGCGGGGATAGGGTTCACACCAATGAACTTGTCAAGCTCGTTGGCGGGGGTGACGGGGAAGCCGCCGGGAATGTCGGAGGGGGTAGCCTGGGGGAGCTCCTCCTTGTTCTCGAGAGGCACGTCCTTAGCCAAGGCGGCGGTGGTAGATTCGGGAGTAACAGTGTTCATGACTGCGGCGGTGGTATCCTCCTTAACGATTTGATCGGGGGTGAGAAAGTTGTTTACGTTGCCCTCGTGATCAGGTTCTTGAGGGGCAGTGTGGTCTGTGATCCAGTTGTTGTCGACGACAAACTATAGAGGGGGGAGAGAAAGCAAGTCAGTAAAAATTGTCAACAATGACGATGTTTTTAAGCGAAATCCGGTGGGCAGCACAGCGGTGGTGTAATGGGTCCTTTGGGGGGCAGATATGACGACGCGCGGCGAACCAAAAGTGGGAGATCAGCTGGGAGCGCGATCTGGGTGTCGCCGATGGTTATAAAGGCCAGGTGAGGAAAGATAGCCCGTATCCGCCAGAACAAGAACCCAGGCAAATTGGAAGGCGGTGGTTCCTGGCGCGTTGCGCTGCCGCTTGTTCCTTGGCCGCGGGCATGGCTGTTGGTTCCTGGCCCGGGCTGGCACGGCTGGGTGGTGGTGACCTTGGTGGTGCTTGTCCTTGTGTACCCTGGGTGCCTTGGGGTGTATCCAGGTGTGTAAGCCGTGTTTGGTGGCACCTAGTCTGGAAGGCTAGCCCCGAAGTTGCTAGACATTTTGGCACATTGTTGTGTGATGAAAGGTGCCATGGTCCTTGGTGGCTGCTGGTGCTGGATCCTGCCGCTCTCCGGTGTCTCTCTTCTTTCTTGCGTTGCAATTTGCGAAAAGGCCACACGCAGCTGCGAACGCGACCATGCTCGCATGGGGGACCCTGGTCAAGATTGACGCTCTTTTCGCTCCCCACAGAATACAAAAGGAGCAATGAACCTGGAAAACCTTGTTCATTGCTTTTTTGGACCTGTGGAAAAGCGGAGCCCCCAACCCGCCGCTCTGCTCGGGATCCGCCAGCCAATCTTGCCAATTGCCCACCTGGAGCCACCGTCAAGCGTCAAGACTCAAGGCAACCACGCCGCTGCTGTGCTTCTGCCGCAGTAAGCTGCTGCAAGAACTGGTGGGTTTGCGTCATTCGGAGCCGGGATAGTCGGCCAGCAACAACCAGCCTCCGAGACCCGCGTGTGACTCTTCTTTTTTTCTTTCTCCAATTTACCCATTACAGCCATGTGCAGCTCCAGTCTGGGATATGTTTTGCAGCCCCGATTGCGCAGGCAATACGTGGGGGAAAAGCAGACAGAGCAGAAAACCCCAACAGGGAAAAGCAGCGGCGTTAGCGCGAAGTAAGCCGACAACACAATGTGGCCGTAGGGGCAATAGTGAGAAGAGTCGAGAGAAGACCGAGAAAGACCCCAGCAAAATTTGTGTGGCTCAGCGGAGCGCGAAGCAAATTGCGTGAGGGCCAGGGGCCTGGACACGCCAAATTGCGAGATGGTGATAAAAGCCCGATCCTATGACGAGCCGCAACCGAGCTGTGGCCTGCAGCTGACGGGGAAGCTGGAACTAGAGCTGCCCTGGAGCTGGGGAGAAGCTTCCACCAGTCAATGGCCTGGCAGCCCAGCCCTTCCCTTCTTCCCCCTCCAAGACGGGGGAACAGCGATTGCGATTGATGGGACAAGGGACCTGGATAGGTGCACGGATGCTGTCGCGGGCTGAGCGATGCGGCGTCGCTGCTTTCGATCGGAGCCCTTGTTCGCGCTCTCATCCAACCCTCCATCGACTCCGCCGCCTGTGCTGCTGGTGCTGCTGTCGTGCCCCTCCATGTTCGAGAGGGTTCCCAACAATTGCCCGCCGTGATAAGGGATTCCGGAGTTGCCGTCGTGTTCGAAAAATCCGGGTGGAATGGACCAATGGTTACGGGTACAAGAAAAAGCGCCTGAATTGGCTGGTACGAACCTTATAGTAGATCTTCTGCGATGCGTCGGCGAGTGTGACGGTCTTCTCGAAAGAGCTGCCGACCTTTTCCAACTTCTCGCTCTTAGTCCAGTTGTCGAAAGTGCCGGTAACGTAAACCTCCTCGGCCGGGTGAGCCCTACAGTGGGACGCAAAGGTTAGCAAGGTTTTTGATCCAACTGGGAGGCTTGCTTTTTCGCTGGAGACGATGCGAACGGTGCCAATGGTGGTGAGGTCGCCGCGGACGGGGCCTAAGGGCCATGTGAAAGAAAGTTTGCATTCCACATGTCCTTTGACGAAAGCATGCAAGCCAACCGCCGTTTCCAAGCGCCGGACGGTAGAGAAGCAATGCAAAGAGGGGCATTGGGATTCCGTCGCATTCCAGTAGTGATATTCATGTAAGGGTATTGAGACTCAGAGTCTAGAGAGAGATGGACTGGCGGGGAGGGGGAAATGCGGGCGGAGTCGATGAGCATACCAGGTAAACTTGTAAGTGCCCATTGTGATGGATGTGAGGGCTGCTTCTTTTCGAAAGAGGGGCAATTAGAATTACTCGGTTCGGAGCGAGTGCCTCGTTGTCGACAGGAACAATGTGAAAGAAAGGGCAGGTGAGGATTCGAGATTCGAACAACAGGAAGAAGGTAGGAAGGAGAGGGTTGTTGGAAAAAAGAGGAAGAAAAAGATGAGAATTGAGAATTGAGCGGCGGGAACCCCCAAAAATTATTGCGCGCGCGTGGCAGAGAAATAATTGCTGGGGTCGGGGGTGTGGGAAGGTGGGCGGCGCAAAAGTCGTCCGTCGTCTATGCACCTCAGTATAAGAGGAGTGGTACACTACCTAAGGTGTGTAATCACTGGTGTGTGTGACTACCTACGAAGTGAGGTGTGTTGGTCTGAAGGTGGTTGCAGGCGCAGATGGTCCCGGCCCAATTTGAATTGACCTGAACTGACGGTGACGGGACCGTCCCTGGTTCGGCGACGCCAGCGTCCAACGTCGCGCTGGGCTGGGCTGCGATGTGCTCCAAGCCGGGCTGAGTGTGAGGTGCGTGGAATCTGCGGACCGTGGACGGCGGTCTGGAGTGAACGAACGGTCTGAGGTGGTCCAGTCTGCAACCTTGAACTCCGTCTGCGCGCAGGCTTGGGCGCGGGCTCCACCATCAGACGTCCGCGGTGCAGTGTGAGTGTGCTTGCTCATCAGCGGTGTGTCTCTGAATTATGACGACAACCGCATCGGTCTAGGCGCTTACACCTAATCCAACGGCCCAACGATGCCAATGATGTAGGCCGGTGTGTTAGTCCCTTTTCTGCTTGTCGGTCAGTCGGTGAGGGTTAGTGGGCGGGCATTCATTCCCTGGGTTCTTCAACAATCCATGTCTCTGGACGATGTTCTCTCCCGAGATAGTCACTTTTCACCACCGTACTTCAGTCAAGACATGGACTTTTCTACAGCTCATGTCTCTGAACGAACAGACCATTGGCATTGGGTTCAAAGCGAACCGTAACATGTGACTTGAGCTTTAATGACATGTCCCGAAATATCCCAAAAGTTCCGAGGGCCCGACTACGTTAGTCTCAAGGAAGGGTCGAGAAGGTGAGGCTTTGCCGTCACAGCGTCGCAGTGTCACAGAATGGGACAAGCGCAGCAGCACCTTCCCTCCTCAGCGAACTCTGAATCGGCAAGGACCTACCTGCCAGACATTCTGTGAATTGTCATCGGAAGGAACACCCAGAGTTAGGTACTCAGTCGTACCTGCCTGCCGACCTCAAGATAAGGTACCTTACGTACCTACTCCATACTAAGGTATCCAGATAATCACGTACCTAACCTCATTTTCATGAGAGGAAAGAACTACGATCCGCTCGTGCTTCCCACGTTCTTTCCTGTATCCTCTGCGGAGTACTGTACATATTGGCAAGAACTTTGGGGAAACATACGAGGTTAATGGAAGCAGGTGAGCCTGAAGAACCCCCGCTATGGCTGCACCTCACCTCACCTCATGTATGTGAACCCAAAGATCTCAAGTCACTCCCAGCGATGTCGCATCCATCCACAACCACCTCTCCTTGATCCACTGACGCCAGCAAACCAACACCAAATCCATGATCGCGATTCACGACAAGCACCGACAAAGACCACCTCTAGGCTCTAGCAAGATCTGCAAACTGCAAACCCCCCCAACGCCCAGCCTCCTTATTCTCCTCCTCCTCGAAACATCCCCTGCGCTTCACGTTGCCTCCTCATCGTCCTCACCGTTTCTTGCTTGGCCTTGTCTCGCCTCGCCTCGCGTTACCGTACCTCACCTTACCTTACCGCCGTACCTGAGCTACACCCTGTGCTAACGCAGACGCGACAGGCCAGAAATATCTCCGTCTGGTGTGTGCTTCAGACGTGGGATGAAGCTAGGCTTGCAACTAATTTCGAATACCACCTACTATTCCGACACTACCGCACCATACACTCCCAGATACGACACGCCAACATCGTTCTCGCCGGGGTTGTGGAGCCGCCCATTCTTTGCAACTTGCCCGAGCCGCTTCCTCTCTGAATCGAGTACCTCTTTACTCAAGGGGCATTGCGCCTATAGTCTTCTCGTTTCCTTGCCAGCTTTTCTTTGCAACACTTTTACGCCCCGGTGCCACCAAGGGTTTGATTTCCACACCGAGTTCAACGCCGATGCGACACTGGGAACTCTACGTCGGACTCGCATGATCGGGATCCTGTGCCCCCAGGCCAGCCTCCAACCTCCCCTTACCGGGCGGGTCCCTTGGTGCACCTTGAACCTCGCCAATTGCTTCCGTTCTTACCTTATCTCTAGCTTCAATGCTGGGCTGCAAAAATCCTCTTATTGCAAGCCACGGCAATCCGGCCTGAACATTGTCTTCGATCAAACAGTTGCGCCAATTGCAGACAACATGATCTGACTCCGAAGAATCGCCCCTTTCCCCTGGATCTTCCAGCCACCCAGCCACCCCCGGAGGCATACTTCACCTGCCATCTCTCAACTAGTAGAGACTTTGCCCAAATTATCACAATCCCGCGCGCCCCTGGCACCAATCCAGCCACCGCGCGCCAGCGCCATCCCTAACTATGTTGCTGCCGTCAGCCGCTGCAGCTACTTCTCTGACAAGGTGGTCCGAACACTTGCGCCTTGGAACTGCTGACGCAGCAGACGAGACCTCCGAGGCGAGCCTCTGGTGTTCCAATCGCTTCCATTCCCTCGCGAGCTGTAACGGCCCAGGTCCCCTTATACTTACATCACGCTGCTTGCGGGTTCCAGCACACTTGGGATCGCCTGTTGCTGCCGCCCCTTCAACGCCTCGTGCTTCACCAGAGTCTGTTAGCCCGCACAACTCTGACCAAACTGCGCAGTGTAAACCTTTTTGACGTTGCTCTTATTGCAAATCGCGAATAAGCATCCACGCGGCACTGTTAATTCCCGCTCTCGATTTCACAATTGAATCGAATCTCCCAAGATCTTACCGCGCCATGAAATTGCGGGGAAGAAGGGGTGGAAGCTCCAGACTCAGACAGGGACGGTTCCCGAACTGAGACAACCCTAGGCCCCTCGCCATAGATTGATGTTCGATCACGCGCCCAATCTTCTCCATAGCCTCAACCACGGACGACGATGACCTGCTTTGCCCCCACTCACAAATTTCTTACCCGCGTGGGAAATGTCCCAAAACCGCTGCGATAACTGAGCAGATCGCAGGACGCAAGTTTCGGCAATTGCACCACAGCAGAGGCTGCATTCGGGGCCCGGTTGAGTCTCGGTGATTTGATGAAGATCGACTCGCCCAGCACACCCTTGCCAACTGCCCGCGTTCGTCACCTCGGGTGTTCAACCGATGTCGCAACACGAACAAACCCAAAGAGGACTGCTCCTGGTGGCACGTTCCCATGGTTTTCCCCGACCTGTCCGCCATACCAAGGTATTGTCAGTACGTTGGAAGAAGCCAGACTTCTCGAAACTTGCAAACGTCCGCCACGCCTTCGCGAAAAAGCGTGTGCCAGGCCCCTCGAGGTTTCATCAATGTGTGATTTCGTTTTCTTTACGACGGTTTCGCTCTCAGGGGGGTGGTTGAGGCGAACAGGCTTCCATTCTCCAGAGTTTAAAAGTCAAGAACTCGACGTCAGAGCTCCCGCACGTGTCAATCATCAGATGCAACCTCGTTTCGTTTCGAGCCTCTCGTGCGTTGCATCGTTCCACCCAGGGGCACGTATTTTAGATGGTCGATGCTTGCTTCTTTGCTTAGCTCACTACGTATACGCTTTTTTGCCTGCCGAGAGTAGCCGTTGCAGTAGTGTTCGTGCGTTGATGTACAAGACTTACGAGCAAGTGCTTGACGGCTTGCCCGTGACTTCACTCAAAGTCAGAGTCAGTGACTGACTGCCTTGTGGATTGTTCACCATGCATCGCGACTACACAATAGTGACATGGTCGATTTACTCAGACATGACATCCGTTGAATGACAGGACCTTCCACTTTGAGACGGAGAACTGCGCGCAGAAGTTTGCTTCTATCGATGGCATCGCTCAGATCTTGTTCAAGAATTTATCAATTACAGTCTTGCCCAGCTTGGCTTCGTTTCACTCCTGTTCTAGCAAACGAGGCTAGATAAATCCAGCTCGAAATCATTTCCAGTCACCAGGCGGAGAATCACCAAAGTGTACGACTTTGCCCTTACGCAGACCTGGTTTGGTCGCGCCGTCACTATAGACTGCATGTGGTGTCTGGATTGTATGCAATGAATGTGATGGCTCCTATGACAACCTGGATATATCTCTGCCTTGCCTCCTCTCTCGTATGTATACGTGGATATGTCGCCGAGAAAATGGCTCTCAGCTAAACAGTCGGATAGGAAGCGGGACGGCAGCGAGTTGACTCTCCGCTGTCTTCCTCCATGTGATAACGCCTTCTCAAAGATGAAGCAACGTCCTCGCTATGGTGATAAAAAGGATCCGATCTCAGGTAGTGCGGTGCTTGATAAGGGCAATCATCGGACTGCCAGTCAGACTGTCCGCCAGGGATTTGCCAATCAACATTGGGCAGCTCATCTCGCCTCCGAGATTTCGCTGAAGGTAGGCGTCGTGAGAAGTATGGTTGGAGGCATCATAGAAGGTAAAATCAGGAATGCGTTATTCACTTGGGCTTCTCGCTTGGTATCTTTCATGTATCCAGTGCCGAATACTCAACTAGAAGGCCAAGATGCTGGAGATGATCACGTCCCTGCCCTGCCTACCATTATAACTCAAAATGCATGAACGCAATTCACTAGCGAACTCGTCAGCGAGATTCTGAGGTAAGAGATTCAGAGAACGCGCGCCCCAAGAATCTGGTTCGAAGCAGTTTTTCGAGGTTCGCATCCTTGGAGAGGTGGCATTGACGATTGGTATCCAAAGCTTTATAGTGATTAATCAGAACCCCCTTAATGCCTGCTTACTTTCATACCCGGTTCAATCAAGCCTGTCAACAGCCAGCCGAGCTCATTCGACGTCGAGTGAGAAGTTGGTTGGATGAGATGGAATGGCGGTAGACCTACCATAGGAGAAAGTAGGGAAGTGAAGGTGATGTGGCTGAATAGTTGTCACTCTCTTCTTCGCATCCAAATATATGACCGTGATATCTTGGAGCTTGGAAGGTTTTAACTGGAAGATTTGCAGAAAGAAGCATAGTGTTTGTTGGTGTTTCTATCTACTAAAGGGGTGACGTTCTTGCATTCCCATCCGGACCATGAGTGTCTCAGAAGATCATGTTAGAGACGTAGTATAGATGCAAGAGGCGTGAGGGAATCGTCAGTGATCTGTAGTCCATCCACAATATGGGGGGTCTTGGTGGTTGTACGTCGAAGAATTATGGTCCCCTCTACTCTTCAGCTCCGCGAGATACAAATGTCGGGTTGAGTCGGCAAGGTCATGTCCGTAGAACTTAGTAGAACCAGGAGTCCACTGCCAGATGACAAGGCTGGCCGTTGGAGTTTCGCCTCACGACTAGTGTATATATATGCCTGTGTCATGACTAGAACGGTACAGCTTCTTTCTGATATCGGGATAGGTACAGAACCAGCCCAAGTCCCGCTGACAAGCTTTCGCGGGATAGAAATCAAGCGACCAGCTCAGCGCGTGATGTAAAGCTGTGCGCCTGTTCTAGAGCTTGGTGCTCGCGAGTACATGGCCTACGAAAAAGGAGAGAGCTTCAGATAGATGTGGGGAGGTATTGACTTCTGATGGACAGACTCGATCAGAGAGACGGGCGACCAGATTCCAGCCGTGTGTTCGGTGCGGCTAACCATGCCTGCACAATCATCTCTCAATAGCACTGCCTCGAACAAGGCATCGCGGCATTTTCACCTCAAGGCAATCTACCCAGCCTCCAGCACGGGGGCGGAGACAGCACACAAAATCACCCTCATAGATCCGGATATCCCTCAGTCAAAGCAAGAACCAAAAAGAGTTCACCCCCCCGGTGCCGATTTGGGGGCTACATCTCTTGGTGCTCATGCTGGGATTCGAACTCGGGGTACTTCGCTAAGCCTGTCGTCGAGTAGGCTGGTTGGCGTGAAAGATTGTTGACCATTAACTGTTCCACCACTCACGCCACAGTTTGACCTGACCCCCGACCTAGGGGGCGCCTGCTGTGCTGGTGACAGGAATTGGATTGAGGGGGGGTATATACCTTTGGGCTTGGGTTCCATCCCGTGACGTGGAAGGTGCGGATGGGTGCTACCTGCCTGGTTTGTGGTTATGGCGTTGCCAGGGGTGATCTCGCACCCGTCAAGGTGCTGTAGTATGAATCGATAAGACCATCAGGCGAGTTGCCTAATCACCAGTGTGGTCCATCCTGCCTTGGTACTCTATTAGTGCCGCAGCTAAATATATAAGTGATGTGTCCGAGCCATCCGTCGGTTCGTTACATTGACAAGCTCAATCTGAGTTGGCGATTGATTGATTGATCTGCCCTGCCAGACAAGCCTCTGGCAAGCATCGCGGGTGGTGTCGTCTAAGTGAGGATATCGCCCATTTCTAACTAGGGTAGGTTGTCTTTTCACAAGTTCGTTCCCTCTCTCAGATACACCCTTTACACCGAAGCCCTTCTCATTCATTGGGGAATATTCCCCTTGGAATGCATAGGTGAAGACGGAAGTTGAAGGGCGAGTGTATATGATTTGATAAGTCATCTTGTCTCGATATCTGTAGTACTTTTCGACTTCACGGATGCCTGCGAGGTGAAGTTCATCATTCCTCCACGCGAGAGCTCTCCAAATAAGCCTGTCGTACGACATGTGGCAACTGCCACTACAACTCCGCCCTGAATCAGTTCAAGTTGAGTACGATCTCAATTGCTTGTTCAAATAGTCCCATGGACTGCCTCCTGCCAGGGGAGTGGAAGCAGGCCTGGTGAGTGATCACTCACATCCTTCTACAGAACTCAAGCCTCTTCTCTTGTCCGGTTCGATCGTGTGATTGATACAAGAACCGCGCATCCATGATCAAGAGGTTCACTCAAACGAAGCGGAGTAGACCGCTCGCTGATAGCTGCGGCGAGAGCGATTTCACGTCATCAAACAACTGAATCCTACTCAAGAGTCAGAACAAAGAAGAACGCCATGAAAACGTCGCGAGAGCTAGCCAGTTGACTACGAGCAACCACGACGACTCCGACGAGTATGTCAAAGGGAACCTCATCAGATAGTCTTACCACTCTGCATCCAAAGCGTCAGATACCATGCTCAATTTGCCAGCTAACTATTCCCAAAAAAAAGTCAAACCCCCAGGTAGGGACAAGGGGGCAAGGGGTTTGGCCATACTACTAGATCCTCACATACAAAGCGGAGGATGGCCTAAAGAACAAGTAGACCACTGCCACGTTCGAATTATCGGGGCTTAAAGGTCATCCTCCTCTGGGAGTAACCAGGTCTGTACCTGAGGTAAACACTCCACGAATCTCACATCTTAGAGTCGTGTATTCATTATTTGGCTCCACTCATTTAATACGTGATATCATAGTGTTCGGAAGTGAATGGCAAATTCTCATCGTCTTGATACATATATACTAAGTGGTTCTGCTCAGAATTACGACCACTATAAATCATGGAGCACTCATCAATGTTTACATCCTCCTCCATATACTCGCAAAGAACCGAAAAACAGAATATGAGCGAAAAGGAAAAGACCGTCTCTACATTTCTCTATCTGGTGTCCTCCCGTAAATGCTATTTCTTCTGGACCTGCTTTCTTCCTCCCGTCATAAATGTCGTAAGTGTACAATGCAAATAGGTATTATGATCCTCTGGCCAAGTTGCTCTTGAATGTGCTGTGTGCCATGCCAAAGAAACGAAAAAAGCAAAAAGATGAAAATGGAAATGTAGAAAAAACTTCTGGAAAAAATGGTAGGAAAAGTCGAAGTGAAGTATGCAATGCTGATGCCAAATGTCGAAAAGGGGAAAATGCTGCCACCCGCCACCACCAACCACGCAATCATCTCCATCTAAAACCACTTCCAGGTGCAACCCTCGGCCAACTTACTCAGCACGCCGACTGCATCGACATAGAGTCGGCTTCTGTTGCCGAGGCAATCCACCTCGAGCCATCTTCTCACAAGAGCCACGACCATCGTGGCCTCCTTCTTCAAGGGTGTTTCCATGGCGTTCTTAGCGCCCATGCTCGCAATAGTGCGAATCCATTGAAGCGCCTCGTCGTCGTTGTCTGAATCGCCGCGACTTGCTTCGCCACCGTTGATGCGGTGCCCATTGGCCCAGCAAATGAGGGCGCAAACGTACATGCCCCAGTAATCCGAAATGTCCTTCCACATCCGGGGTCGGCCGGCCTCTCGAGTATCCATGTCATCTTCGTCATCAGAGTCTTCTTCAGAGTTGCCGTGGTCGGTGAAGGCGCGAAGAGCCCGACAGGCAAAGACCAACGCGACGGCAGCGCTGCCCGAGTCGGACCACTCCCTGAGCCGCTTCTTGTGCTCGTCGAACTGTTTAGGCTGGAGGACCTTGTGGCTGAAGATCCAACTGTCGCCTGAAACTGCCAGTAAATCATGAAGAGGAGTGTGGTGAAGAGCCAGGTAGGTGTTGGCCTTGGGGCAATCCGAGAATATGTTGGCCATGCGGAAAGTCTGTGGCTCCAGTATTTCTGTCGAAGACGAAGAAAATTGCGCCGCTTCTCCACGATGAGGGAGCAAAAGTACCTCAAAGGCCAGAATCACTGCGCGGTCGAAAGGGGCGTGTGCGTCGACTATGCTTCTCGACAAGGTGTCTGGATTGATCAAAGACAGAAGCGTCTGGTTATCCAGGGAAACTCTCTTGGACGAGACCATCGCCGCCCATGCATCGGCACTAGGTGCATCCCAGAGATCCTGAGCTGGACCAGTGAGTGGGATGTTGGGTGGCATGCCGTCGGTTGTGGTGTCGAAGTTGCGGACTCTTGGCTGATCCAGGTAAACCGAGCTGTGGATATCCAAGACGAAGCACGCCGACAGAAGGCGACGACGAGCCTCTGCATCGAGCCAAGTGTGCCATCTAACGGTATTTGTTCCGGTCCGAGGCACGGGGCCAAATATGACCTTTTTGTCTGCCTGGTCGTATACCTGGAATGGAGGTTTAGAACTTGTTGCTGAGATGAGAGATCCAAAAGACTGAAAGAGAGGTTCACACAGTAAAAGAGACTAAAGCTAGAAGAAATGAGGTAGAACAAACGTGTCAGAATGAAATGCAAATGAGAACTTACCCGCACGTAAACGGATTCGAATAGTTTCGATGGCCTGATGGCTGCTCTCCGGCCGCGGAACCGCGCGAAGTACTCACATAGCAGAATCGCTTGCATGACAGGCACATCCCACTGTGGGATCTGTTCCTCCCGGAATGTCAGCAAAGTCACTTTCATTATAGAGTATGGTCGTGTCAACTTACGTATTTGGATTGTTGCCAGGCATATTCATGCAGCTGATCCCCCCTGATGCGATCCTCCTTACCACTCAGATATTGAGTCGCCACTGCAGCCATGGCACAACGAAGCACTTCAAACTGCTCCGCCGCGGCCTCGAAAGTCCTTCGGTGTACGATTGGGAAATGTGGGTGAAACTTTTCCCAGTAGACATCGAGGTAGCCGGGAATGGCTCTGCAGATAGACATAGGCAAGGAGCCCTGCATCAGGGCCGGGGCCGCCAGGAGGCCCGACGCCACCTCCTTACGGCCCAAACAGGCATATGAGTTCATCATCCGGTCCGATGGTAGTGCCGTCGACGGGGTGACTAGAGTTTCACAACTTTGAGCCGATGCCGATGTCACCGGCGGGGTCAGGCTACGAACAGTATTGGGGAACCGTGGCTGTTGCTGAGGGTCACGGAATGTCTGCTCGTCAGAGTAGGTAGATATGGAAGTGCCGAGCATCGGGTACACCTGTGGAGTGTTGAGCTGGGGGGAGGTCGAGTAATGGTAGAGCATAGGGCCGGTAGCTCCTATGGTCTCGTAGCCACCTGTTGGGCATGGCGAAAGGAGGTTATTTTGCCAATCTGGCGCCGCCGTCGGCCAGAATGCGCGTCGCGAATTATCGGAAGGCGTTGAATAAGTGCTGTCGGAAGCCGAAGAAGGCCATCCCATGGGATCCTGAGCGTGTGAAAGTTCGGGTGTTTGCAGTTCCAGTCCCGAAGTCTGAAGATACAGCGGAGGGTATTCAGGAGTTGTGCGAGGCTGGTAATCGATGGAGGAAAACGAGGGCGGGGTGTTGAAATCGCCATTTGAAGGCTGAAGCATGGGTTGCTGCGAGGATTGGCCGGACAGAGAATAGCCTCCACCGTAACCAGGACCACCGGACGAAGAGCGATAGCTCTCGTTCCCTAGGTGGGGAGACATGGACTTGCTAACATCTGGCGCGCTCATGGACTGATATGTACCAGGGTGTGACATACTCGATGTCATTGGGAGGCCGTGGATCGGTGTTGTTGCACTCGTAGGGTATCCAAGCAAGGGAGGTTGTAATCCCATGCCTCGGACTCCTGCATCCAAAGAGGCGGCCGAGGTCCGGCGACTTTGACTCCCTCCTCTGCTTCTCGATGCCTTGTCGCCCTCGAGCTCACTTACTACGAGTCAGTGGATCCTGCTAGAATCGAAAGATGAGGATACCAAACTCACTGTCGTTGCTGATGACGCTCAAGTAAATCCTTGCGGTGGAAAGCCCTATCGCAACCGGGAATTGAGCACCCATATTGCGGAGTTTCGTGGCTAAGCTGGTGTCGTCTGGTATCAAATTTTGTCAGTCGAAGCACCGCGGTGGGAAGTTATTGCATGAAGCATACCTTAGATGCTCAGCGCGTGTGAACGTCTAATTCAAGTCAGCGAATTCCTCGAACGGACTTTTACGAAATCATGCTGGCGTACCTTGGGAGGACGACAGAGGTCGCATGTATGAACCTTCATACCCTTTTTCGCCCTACTGACACGACCGGTAATGGGAGTCAACTTGACAGGAACTTCCCCTCCAGGTGGCACGCTGCCAAAAGGTCTCATGGGCTGGCCAGAGGGATCAAGGCCGCCGCCCGAGGGCCCCGCGTGGCCGTATCCGTAGTTTGTTTGCTCCATGGAATCGGTGCTGACGTTGCTCCTTCGACGGGTGTTGACTGGTCGAGCAGATGAAGATGACGAGCCTGTGGTGTTCGACTTGGAGGTGCGGGAGGATGAGCTTCGCTTCGTGCCTTGTGGTGTGCTTGAACGGTCTGCTTGATCTCCGCCAGTCGCATAGCCTGTGTTGTAAACTGCGCTTGGTGCCAAGTAGGGTTGATGATGTCTGCCTGATGGAGCCGGGACCTGGTCGTTCTTAATAGTGTGGGATTCGAGTTGGTCCTCGTCCACGTTCATGATATCTTGGAGGCTGGCCATGGTTTAAGGTTCCCAAAAGGGAAGTGTAGAAGACCGAGATGCAGAATGGTTGCACCCAGAGAGGGAAATGCAGAGGAAGCAACGCAGCCAAAGTTAGTAAGGCACAGCCCGGCTGAATGCTCTCCTCGGAATAGACTGAAGTCGAGTGAGTGTAGTTGGAAGCAACCCCCAAACATGAAGACGCGCAGTGTGAGTTGGGGGACAGTCAGGGTCCAAGAAGGGGGTGTCGGTGTAGAATGAAGGACTAAACTGGGGTGGATGGAAGACAGTAAGATAAGGTAAGGTACGGTAAGGCAAGACAAGGCAAGGCAAAAGACCTAGGTAAGGTAGGGGGGCGGTTCTTGGAGACTGTCAGCCTGTCCAACAACAGGCTGGGGGTCGAGGTGAGATGCAGAGAGCAGTTGGTTCTAAGCGGAGTCGATATGCAATGGAACTGAACGAAGAGAAGAGACAAAGATAGTGGTGCTGTTGCCGCTGCCGCTTGTTGGAGACATTGCTATATTGAGAGGAGGCAGACGCAAGTCTTGCGAAGTGCGAGTAAAGAAGGAAACTGTCAGCTCTTCAAGGAGGCTGTTCTTCTTAGAGGCCTCGCTTCCCCTGTCAGCTGTGTGTATGTACATGGGTAGTCAAGGGTGTTGGACAAGGAGGGACATGGAGGTTGCTCGAAAAAAATGCAAGGCACTCCTTCGAAGGGTATCGGCCGAGCTGGGGTTCGGTCACCCACCACTGTCTTTGGCCTCGGGTTGATTGGTAGAGTTACCAGATGCCTGTCATACGACTCAGCCCTCTCAGGCTGGCAGACGGGACCCCATCCCATGGTCCCACGCAGCGTCTCTCCCCAAGTTTGGTATGAAATTGCCGCGATGTCACGGAATGAGCGCGTCTGGGATCTCTGCCACATCCCAAAGAAAAGCCGCGGCCATGTATAGTAGCCGCGGTTGATGACGAGGTGGACGGTCATGTTTCCATTTTGACTCTGGCTCTCCGTCTCGTCTCGTTCGTGTGCGTCTGTGTCTCTCCTCTCATGTCTAAGATCTGAACCAGATCGACCGAGTCGCATATCGGCGAGACCCCAAGAAACCCACACTTCTGGCAGACAAGACGTCTTGTCTTCATTTCCCCTTGGATGTAGACAGATATCCCGTCTTGTCGCTGACTGACTTATTGACCCTGCCTACGCAGTGTATGGGAAATGCCTGTACTGCATAACAAGGCCGCCATTTCAACGGGAGACAGCGCGGAGGTCTCAATGAGGAATAGCAACATGCGGTAATGGCGTCACTGTGTAGATACGAGAGAAAGAGCGGCGCCAAATGGAGCGCGGTCATTCCGTTTCCCACAGTAGCGGCCGCTAGCGTCCGTGGTGGGAAAGTAGTGGCTGTGAGTGCGTCTTTTCTGGGGGAAATGCTGTACAGACAGTGAGCATTCTGCGAGAGAGGAAAAAATGTCAGACGAAATGAGGCGCAGTCTCCCGACCGTAAAGTAAACCGTTGTCATTGCTGTACATGCATGAGTCGGCTGCCCTGTCAACACCCCTGCTAGACTGGCTTGCCCTTTTTGGATTTTGACTTTGCAGGGCATCCATCCCAAGATCCAGTTCAGCAAACAGCGGGAGATGTAACGGAGGGCAGCGAAGGCAGCAGCCAACTGGCGTGCGAGTTACACAATTTGTGTGGGAGAGATGGAGCCGTGAACCCTCTGACTGGCTGTGTGTCTCGCGTCTGTCTGACTGCGTATTGAGGTCGCTTTTGCTCACCGTGACGGCAGAGAATACATACAAGTCTTGTGACCCGTCGGCTCCAGGATGGCTATAAGCAGCTCCTGCACAGATAGGTCCTGTACTTGCGACCGAGTGCTTGCAGTCTATTTTGAACCTTTGACGCATAGCTCATGCAGACAAACATAGGGAACCATTTGACAAGCCGTGTTCCCGACAGACACTGGCGTATACAGCTCGATTCCAAGCTGGCCGAGGACCGAGGATCCTTAGTGAAGTAAATTGAAGGAGTTGACCATCGTTGTGCCATGATTCAGGGGCTCCCGAGGTTGAAATTTTACGCTTCCTTGTTAGATCGTCAAAGACTCCGAGTTGCGGGCACGGAGGAACAGGCCGATCATATTGAAGCAATAATCGGAAGGTTCGCCGATGGTCGTGGGGTAATGAATAGCAGGATCGGTCGCCCAAGGTGAGGGCGGCGAGCGACCGAGCAACTGACTGCTGTCAATCTTTGACGTGAACACCAAGAGAACGCCATGCAGCAGCCGGCCCGCTGAGAAACATGGGAGAGGTAGGGCGGTGGACAGGGATAGCCCCGAATCGGCGGGGACGGCAGGGGCTTAGGCGCAGCCCAGCGCCTCATTGGTGTGCCGAGGGACGAATTGCCAGTCATTGGAGACCTATTTTGGTGACATGAAGTTTCTGTGCTTCCAAATGTGTCGTTTGTTGTAATAACTTGGAAACGAAAGCGATGTCTACATTGAGCGCACAGTCGAAGTTAGCAAGTAATCAACGTGGTGTGACAAAGATAAGTAAGGTCTGTATGGAAGAACCTAGGTAGCAATACCACAATTTGGATTAAGCGTTGGTGACAATAGGCACGCTAAGAAGGTGCTAGTTGGGTACGCTACTTGGTACGTACGTTGACCAAGTTGCTGCACAGCATCTCGGGTGCGTTATCGAGGGAGAAAAAAAATCACAAAGATCTTTTTGGCGAGTGTCGGCATGGGCGGTGGAGATGTCCCAATGGGGGGTCACACCGACGGCCTGGGCCGGCTGCAGGGACGGACGGGACCCGGTTGCGGGCTGGGGGCAGCGGTCCCCGTCACTGTCAAGGGATGAACAAACGGGCAGCGCGAGATGCGACGTCGGGGCAGAAATTCTTCAGTGTTTCAGTTGCTGTACTTCCGTGGCTAGTGCCGTCGTCGATATGAATGCCCGCAAGTGTTGGGGTCCGAACCGGCTTCATGGCAGCAAGTGCATCGGATCGCAACGGAGGACGGCCCTGTAAAGACCCACAGGTCTCGGGCAGATCAGCTTTCGGGGGAAAAGATCAGGATTCAGGGGCAGATGGACAGATGTGATGCGTCTGTTTTTCCCATGTTGGGGGCCGGACCGACCGATGATGAGCAATATACTGGCGAAACCTTAAGTCTCGGAGCTGGCTCCCGGTGAGGGGTGTTGCGGGCATCTTGATTCTTGCGCGGATGGGGTCCGTTTCAGGATTCGATATCCCGGGCGCATGATTGGGACTGTTGTCGAGCTTGGGATTCGGAAAAGGTAGCTGAAGCTGCATGAGATATCTCGGAGCTGAGCTAAGGTATGAGGTGATGAAGCGATGGGCTGATGAGGGGTGGTTCCGGGAGGGGGGAGGGATACGTTCGCTTCTGCTAGTGCAGGTACGATTGGCAAGGCCAGGAAAGATAGGAGAAAGGATGGCCATGTTTGGGCAGCAAAAATCAAGCTATGGGTAGAATAAGGTAGCTAGCTCGATGAGCTCTGGGAACTGGCAAAGAAGCTTCGGAGTGGCGGTCGCAAGTTTCCAAGCTTTAGTTGGTTGTCAGACGGTCGCGAGTTGGATGGTGGAGAGACGAAAGCTATCAAAGGTCACGTCGAGGACGGGAAGAGGAAGGATCGACCGGACCGTTGTGACTCTGGTCCATTGTTCCTACCTTACCGGTCCTTGGGTAGGTAGGTACTTGCTACTCCGTAGGTTCGCACCTTACCGCCGCTGAGGTGCTTTAGGTTGGCTGGACCGCAGATTTTCCGAATGGAAGGCACCAACTCCCGCGGACTTCACTGGGGCGGCTCGGACTCGATTACAGGCAGCTTCGACCTGTCGCTCTTGCCAACATCGTGCGCTAGGGTTCCGCACGTAAATTCGCACGTAAGGCACCTCACCTTGTCCTAAGGTGTCAACGTCGCCTTCGATCCCAGGAAGGCGCATTGCGGCCGACAATCTGTCAGTTGGAACTGGGGCCCAGGCATGGACGTCTCTGGGTTCTTTGGGTCTATGGGGTAGGTACCTTATTGTTGATGCCTTGCCATTGATCATTGCCCACTACCGTACCTTACCAGTCCGTCCGTCCACAACGCCCACATCGAGCCGGATTTCTTCATCCAACGCTTTCTGTGCCGCTCTGCGCCTGGATTCCTACTACGACCCTTTGACCTGCACGCCGTTACATTTCCTTCACGGCGCAATCGTATACTGCCTACATACTTTTTCTGTCCAGGGGACTCGATGTCTATCACCTCTGCGCCGCGTCCATAATCCAGCCAAGATGTAATTCAACATGGTGGAGAGAATCCCGCGGGAAGTACCCGGTTCATCCTAAATGGCGGTATAAGTCTAAGTCATGACATTGCAGCACACTGCCCTACCTTTGGTCTTGGCCTATTTGGCGGAACCTTCACTTACACTTCCACAGACATTTGGTAATGAATTGATCGGGAATGGATCACCTCAGCGACCGTGAAAATTGAGTTGGTCCCCACTGGAAGTGCCTGCCAGGCTCATTACCTAAGATGCTCATCGTCGCCTTGCGGCTTGCCAGAGTTTCCGTGATTCAAGGTGGCCGGCAATGTGAAGGCAGGGGAGGGGGGAAGGGAGACAAGGGTCGGCGCTTAACCCAGTGGTATTTTTAGCAGCCGACTTCCGTCTCCCGGCTTGATCCCGTTGGCTGACCATCACACCGACGACATTTGAACAGGGGTCTCACCACACCAACTTCGTCCCAAAAAGAAATCAAGCTGTCAACGGCCGCGGCGACCCCATTTGTTCAAGCCTCGTTTGACCTAGACATCCAGCATGAACGCGGAAACGAACCGGATTGACCTCTGCCATGCAAGTCCAAGACTCCATACTTGAAATTCGCATCATCACTATCATGTACCAGCCCGTCGACGGAATCCAGTTTTCGATCTACATCACCGATGAAAATTTTTGCATTTTGTTATTGTCGACAGCTGCTTAGCCATGTTGGACATGAGAACCTAGGGGGGCGCCAGGACCAACGGCTCCCCGCTTTGCAAAGAGGGCAAAAGATCCATCACGTCTCGTCACGTACCGGTATTACCATCAAATCATCTTACTCGGCAACGTTCTGCAGTCGAGAAATTCTTTTGGTACAATCCAACAAGTGCTGCCATCTGTCACCTGGATATTTCTAAGCTCCGGATGCTACTCCGTACAACAGGTAGCGAGCTAAATGGGCGGCCCGGATCCAAATTGGTACCCTGCCATTGCACACTGGTCTCATCTGCAGCCTGATCCAACCAGTTGGTTCTGCCACTGTCATCTAAAGTATTGAATTGCACCGCTTCCCAACCCAACTGCGAACCATCTGGCACGGCTTGATTACGCCCACTACAGTGTCCGTTTGGTCGCACGACACACTACAGTCTACCATGGCATCCTTGCCCTGAGGCGTTCACGACATAGCCCGATCCACGATGCATTGCATTTCTTCCCATCCCATCACCACGGTTGTTGCATGGCATAGGGCGGCCCAGCAAGCCCCAGGATCGACGATCGCGGACTGTTCTCTCCTCACCAGACACGTCTCCCGTTCTTGCTCTGGTAGAAGCAACACACCCACACCACGGCTCTTCTCTCGGTTGGATGTCAGCCAACCCGCATCAGCCACGGACACTCATCGCACCATACCTACTGTCAAGGCTATCAGTGGTGCTGTCCTTCACTCACACTGCCTTGCTGCAAGTCATCAAACAGCTTCACGTAATCGACGACCGACTGTCCAACTGGCCTGCGCATGTCTTTACCGCCCGACGCGGCCGTCCAACTCAGCGGCCGAGGGAACCGAAGAAAGAGATTCACACCGTTGTCTGATCGGCAACCGCTTTGTTTCTCCAGAGCCCTTCTCTAGCCGGGTTTTTTACCAACTCTACACGGTTCGAGCCCTTGGCAAAGCAAGAATTTTCCCGTTTCAATACTGTGTAAAGGCGACATCGATCAGGCGATGCATCTGAACAACCTTGGGTGCTCTTCACAAAATCCGTATTCCAGCTGACGAGAATTGCACTGCAGTTGTTCGGCCGTTGGAAGGATCCTGTCGAGCGGCCCGGAGCGAGGGATTCCTCGTGTTCCTGCGGACTAAGGCGTGTTTGCCATGCTCAACACATGGTCTTAACAAATCCCTTCAACAGCTTTCCACCAATGGCGCGTGTTACCTGCGGGCCGTAGCCTTGCTATCCGAGGAGTGGGCTACAACCTGGAATTTCTTGCCCTTTACCGGCACCTTTTCTTCCATCTGAGATCAAAGACAGATTTCGAGATGCACTCACCAGATTCTTGAGGCAGTGCCTCGGTAGGAAGGCCGTGAAGGAGCCAAGCCGCTCCTGCTGCGTGGGGTAACACGCGACGCGGCTCTGGATACCCGCACTCCCTCTATCCACCGGATTACTGCTTGGCCTTCCCGTCACGCATATCCCATCACATCGCCAGACTCAGCCCCCATTACCCACCATGGGCGGCTAGAGTCACCAACCCTAGGACGCCACCTTCATACTGGAACCTATCATCTATCGCTCAACTACCGGTCTCCAGGTTCTTCACGTCGGATCCAAACTTATCCATAACGAGCCACGCGCCTGGCGCCAAAATTAGCGCAGCCGACATACTCCATCTTGAAGACATGTCTTTTCCCTTACAGAGGCAACAACACTCAGCGTCCTAAGCTGCTGCCTTGTCGCTGGAGGTAACAGTATGCGCCATGTCCCGTATTCGAACGTCGGCTGAGTGTACCTGCTTGACAGCTGCGGACCCCATGATGCCATACACATCCGAAGGATCAGCTGTCGAAGCAGCTCTCAAGATCCGTAGCGGAGGCTCTTTGCTCGCGGACCCGAGCTGCAGCAATGCAGGTACCATGCTCGAGTCGGAGTGCGGCGAAAGTTGGTCAGGTCAAGAATCGGTATGTGGGATGCAAGGAACGAGTAGCCTTGTGACTATGCGAATCTACGCCATGTCTTCATGTCGAAACAGGACCCCAACGGAGAGCTGAACGAAACCGCAATGTTGAAACCTCGTGTTCGAAAATAAGGGATGCTCTCGACCTCGAAAATGCACGAGTCTATTGCCTCTTTCGTCTACGGCCGCAAGGCCTTGACCTGTTCCCATCATTGACACTACGAGGGGTTGGAGCCTGGACTGGAGGGGAAGAACGTCGAGCTTGACATGGTAGTGGTTGGTCCCATGGGGGGTAAACGGCAAGGAGCGTTGCCGAACCATCCCCGTGGGCGGTGATCGGCAAGGAAGGCTTTCACCATTTGGCCTCTACCGCTTCCAACATGCTCCTTGGCGAGACGTGCAGTTGGAACGGGCGACCTGGCTTGCGGCCGAGAAACGCACATCCCGTCCGGCCCTGATAGGCCCGCCCGCTAGGTTCGGGTGCGAGTGCGAAGGCCGTTGGAACCTTTGATCCGTCACCAGAGGGTGAAGGAAATGGAACACCGTGCCAACCTACACTCCTCAACTATCGCCACTTCGCGGCCCGGGTGCTTGACCCGTCCTCTACCTGGATAATGATGTCCCGAAGGGAACCTCGGAACACTTGATGCTCCAACCTAGGAAGGTAGGTCTCCGGCGAACCATACCCTTGGCTTTTTAGCAGCACGCGAGTGCGAATCATGCGACGAACCGTACCTTTAGACGAGGGTCACATCCTGCCATTCAACGCCATGAACGTTGGCACGAATTTTGGCGCAGGGGATATTCAGCCTCACGATGCGCCTAGCGGCCTGGACGGGCCCATCCGCTAAAGATGACGGGTCAACGGGCTGCCAACGCCTCCCGTCAGTCTACTTGAAACAAAGACCTCTATCCCGTGAGTATGGGCACGCCCCCAACTGATCAGCCCAAAGGAGCTCTGCTGGTATGGATGCTACTATTGCCCAACTGTGTTTACCTTGTGGTGAGACGATCAAGGACGGCATTGCTACATACCACGCCCACACCTCCCCATCTTGAAAGAAAATCCACGATCCGGCAGCGCCCCGCGGGCGTCAAGGCAGACGCATGTCGGATGTGACGAAAGGCCCTAAGCCGAGGACGCCGTGGTAAGGCAGAAGCGTGATAGCATCATCTCATTGTCGTCACATCATGTTCGTCACATCATGTAAATCACCACCGTATGTGATGTGAACGTAGTCAAAAGTTCACGGCGGTTAAATCTTGGGGGCCAGTAGAAAGTGTAAAACCACATTGGCACAGCACGGAGCAGGTGTCGGTCACCGCCCCGATTCGTGGGGTGCGCGTCTGTGAGGAGGTGGCCTTTGCTAGGTAAGTAAGTAAGTAGGTATGCGGGAGGGGAAAAAAAAGGGTAGGAGCGGGAAGGAGCTCAACGGCCCAAGGTAGCTTTGTGAGCCAGGTCCATCCCGGCATCAGAAGCTCTGGTCCAGAAGTTGAGATGATTTGCGAACCCCGAATCTCTTGCCTTGCGAGTATGACACGCATTTCCCCCTTCCTTCAAGAGTGCAACCGAGTCTATGTGGCCACTCGGGACCTGAGCAGCTTGGGTATGGAGCTACCAGTAACTTGGTGACCCATCAAGGCACATACCTTAGGTACCTATCCTAGGTAGCCATCTAGGTGGCCGAAACGAAGTCTCTGAACAGACAGTCTTTTCACTCAGGCTCATGATTTTCTGCGGTTCACGACTTCTCTTACCCAATCTAGGCAGCTAACTTGATAGAGCCGGACAGATAACCACGCGGCCTGTTTCATGAGCAAGTTTCGACAATTTGAGGTTTTCTTTTCGTGGAGGATAAGTTAGCTATGTGGTGATAGTAGCAGATCTCTATGCAATAAAATAACCAAAAGAGAGAGGGCTTTTGCAACAGAGTTTGCCCTCTCAAGGTAACGTAACAAGACACTCTCAAAACGCCATTTCTCTTCCTTTTTTGACAACGAAGAGTGCCCAACAATAATAAGTACAACAGCAGGTAGTTAGTCAAAACGTGGGGTTGCGTGGGCGCGTGTGTTCCAGCATCATTCTCTTTCGTTTTTGTGTAGACCATCCAAGTCCGTTCGTTTTCCTCCCAATCTCTCTTTCTTTCTCTCCCACCCGGTGCAATAGTAATTAGGTATGAGGGAGTATGATCTCGGTGGATTATGAGGTGCTCGCCGTGGCGGCGGTAGACTGTTGAGGAACGACCCGGCCGCGGGGGCTCTTGCCGTCGCTCTCTGACTCGTCGTCGCTGTTGCGACGGCTGGGGCTATCTTGGTCGCTTCGCTTGCTCTTGGTCATCTGTACGTGGCGTTGTCAGCTAGGGTATCTGAAATGAAGTGTACTTCGTGGCGGCATTTCTAATGGAGAAGGAGATGAGGTAGAACGTACCCATGAACGGACGCCACCGACGAGACCCAATGCGTAACCCGTGATAAAGTCATTGGACTGCGTCGCGGCGGGCGTGCCACCAGGCGTGGTCGGTATCTCGACGCTGAGGCGGGACTTGCTCGCGTTGGCGTTTGCGGCGGCCAGGAGGTCGCCGTTCTGGATGTAGGCGGTGCGAGCGGAGGGTGCGGGGGATTGCGGCCGGGAGGCGGGCCAGAACTGGCGCAGCTCGCGAGAGAGCTCCTGGCCGGTAGTGGACCAATTTGTGCGGATATTATCGCGCAGCTCCTGGACGTGGCGCTTGAGGTCGAGCTCGTTCTTCTTGATCCAGCTGACGTTGAGCTCCTGGCGTGACGTACCGCGCTTGAACTGACGAGCAATGTACTTTTCGTAATCGCGAACGATCCTGGATAAGGCAGCGGTTAGTCGTTGTTCATAGCCATAACATCCAAGCAGCAATATAGAGACGAAAAAGACGAAGAGACAATCTGAGGAATTTGAACATACTTGGTAATAATACCGGTCGTGCTGACACCTTCCGTGCGCTGGGTAACAAGGAACTTTCCAGCCTCCTTGATGGGCCTGTAGATGTCGTCGCCTTCGTCGGCACCGTAGGGCAGGTCATCGTGGGCGACGTAGTCGATCTTGTGCTCGTCGAGGAAGTCGGGCGTGACGATCCACGGACAGCTCTCAATGACCTCGTCCACCCACTTACAATGCCGGACAGTCTCTGCGCGCTCGGCGCCGGAGAGAACCGTCAGACCCTTGCGCTTGTGTGTCTCGGCGTCACCAGTGACGCCGACGATGAGGTAGGTGTCGGGGAAAGCCTTCTTTGCCTGCTCAAGCTGGCGCATGTGACTACGAGAGGGGCAAGAGAGTCAGTATGATCAAGTTCCTTGCCAAAGGGGGGGAGGGGGGGCATTGAAAGCGAGCTCCATTGTCTTCCGCGATCGTTCAGACTTACCCGAGATGGAAGAGATCAAAGACTCCGTCGGCGTACACCCTGACGGCCCGGCCAGTGGGAGGATCGTTGGTTCTGAAGCCCACGGGGTGTGTGAGCTTGCCAGTGGGCGGGGGCGGCATGGCCTCATCCTTCTCGTCCTCCTTTATCGAGACCTGCTTGCGGCTGGTCTTGCGGCCGACGCGCTCGGCAATGTCGACGCTGGCCTCGGTGGTGTCGCTGGGTTCACCAGGATCGAGGGAGTGGTCCTGCGCCGCGGCGGCGGTCTGCTGGTTGTTGGCGCTCGTCTCGTGAGAACGCTCCGAGTTGGCACGTTGCCTCTTAGGAGGGTGGCCGGCGGATGTGGAGTCGTTCTTGCGGTGACCGGCGATACGGCCGGACTCGGGAGCGGTGCTGTCACCCTCCTCGCCCGAGGCATCTCGCGACGATGCCTGGAGGGCGGCGTCGACTGTGTCGGCGACGTCGGGCATGTTGGTGGGGTTTGTCGCGTTGGTGCGTTTCCGCTTGCCTGCTGCCGAGGAACCTGAGGGAGAAGACATGGTGTCTTTATTTGTGCGTAGTGTGTGTGAGGGGGTAGGTTGCGAGGTAGGAAGCTGGTTTTGCTTGGTGCTGGTGGTGGTGAGGTAGTATGTGTCGTCAAGCAGCAGGCCTCTGGCGTCCTCCCGCGTGAACTTGCTAGTTGCGACTTAGGTAAGGAAGGGGGTTTGTATGGGTCGAGCGAGGTGTTCCCTGTAGATCGGCGTACTATGTCGTAGGGTATGGGAAAGTTGGATTTGCAGGTTGGGAGGTGTCTCGGCTCGGAAGAAGTTGGAGCTGGGTTTCTAGATTTCCCAAAGGTGTGGGTGTCGTGCCTTGGTTTAGAAATGTTAGGAGGGGTGGGTAAGGCAATGATGATGATGATTATGATGCCGTGGGTAAAAAACGGAAAGGCGAGGACGTGACAGGACAGGACAGACTACATGGACAGACAGACGGGACGGGGCAAGGGGGGGAAGTACTAAGACACGGCTTCTGTTTGGTGCAAAGTGCCAACGAAGCAGAGCTGCAGGATACCCGATGCTTGACGGACAGGGCAATGGGACACGAAGGAGGAGGGAAGGCGTTAAGTTGGTAGTCGGTGTACACTTACGCGGTTATGGCAAGGCCAGTCCAGTCCAGTAGGAGGTGGTGCTCGGGTGATTGAGAGATTGCGAAGTCAAGAGGAGACAGATGCGCATATGATGATACCCGACGGAAGCAGACCTGCAGCTAGTGGGGGGAGGAGCGTCTTGTCCGGTCGGCGGGACGCGGACCACGGGATTGAAACTTTTTTTTTTTAAGGTTGGCCCTGGCTGGTTATTGATGATGGATCGAGAGTGTCAATTCAAGTAGCTGAACTGCTGCGGTGTAGGTAGGAATTGAAGCTTCGTCAAGCGCGGGTAGGTTGTCTGGTATCAGACAAGAGCTTCTTCGTTTTTGACTTGTGATTTTGAGCTTGGATCCTTTGGTTGATTGAATAGCGTCCTTCCTTCGTATCTACTCAGTCTAGACCACCGTCGCGTGTCACGACTTGGGAAAATGCCACGATGCTCATCGAGATTTGGCCATACACAAAACCACGGGTACAATTTCTATGCGAGCATGCCACAGTGTTCCAGCACCAAAAAAGAACCCAGAACTATCTTAGCATGCACCCCTCCTATTTCCAACGCTCTGAAAGAATTCCGGGGCACGCATTTGTTCCCTGTCCGCGTCCATTGTTCGTTAGAGGAGCATGGGGCATGCCATAGGTAGTGTACACAGCACAGGTAGGTGCAGGGGGGTCGAAGGTGACGGGATGGAGAGCAAGAACACCCCGATGGGAAATTTGCGGCTTGTGCTGTGGCTCCAAGCTTGTGCAGCTGGTGCTTTCTCCCTCATCTCCCCTGCACAGCTGGTCTGGCTGGATTTGGAGGCGGATTCTGTCGTAATTGCCAGCGTTGTGCAAGGAAGTGGCGTCATCGTGCTGTGTGGCTGAACTGAGCTATGCACTGCACAATTACGTCGAGGGAGGAGCCAGAAAGGACGTCGTGGCTTGGCTGACACGAGCCAATGGTCGAATACCAAATGGACGCAAAAAAATGCTTTTGCGGGTCAATTCTGCCCGGCAGGGATGACGAGATTTCTGTTGGGGAGGATGTGGGTTCTTTCATGTGGAGGAAGGGGGGAACTCACGGAGAAGGAGCTCTCTGTTCTGGGACTCGAAAGAATACGTACCTTTTCTGAAGCCAATGCTGCCAGTTGTCACTTGCACGCCTGCCAAATGGGAGGTTCAAAAAAGACGCGACAAGTCGACACGTGGCGGTTCGGTTGAACCTCGGATCGATCCGGGTTGCATTTGGCAACCTTTGAGGACCTACCTTATGTAACCAACCTTTGCTGGCGGGAGCACCATTGTTGTAGTAGGTATCGTAAGTCATCGAGAACGCCATGTTTACTACTCCAAGCATCGAAATGGGCAACTATGCGAGCAAGGTCTGTACATCATATTGAACAGCAGATGGTTAATGCGTCTCCATGTTCGACCCACCTGGCTGGGATGCAACAGCTGCATGAATCGGTGACTGATTGGCAATCTTGGATGAGGTGAGGTATTGATTTGGCACGACTCTATTCCGTGACTTCGGCCCGTGAAGTGAATCCGGTCAGGTCGGCGTAGAAATTGGGCGAACTGGCACGGGCGGAGACATTCAGCCGGTCGAGTGATCGGTGACCGGAAGGAGTGGATTTCCGGACGATCGCCGGTTGTGGAGCCATGCGGAGCACCAATTCGGGTCAACATCCGGCAACACGCCGTATCCTACCGAGGCATTTCAGAACGCGCCCACTCCTAGGAAAGCTAGGCCATGCTTATCAGAGGTGCTTGGGTCTTAGGCATTGGCTTTGAGAGCGTACGGCTATAGCAAATCATTGGTGCAGCAATGTGTTGGCTACCGCCAGGGTTGTGTTCCAGAGTCCGGTGCGCCTCGGCTCATCTCAGTATCTACAGACTTCGAATACTCTCCCATATTCGCTAGAGAATGTCCATTATCTCTTATTCCTCTTTTGAGATGGTACTCGTGAGAAACATATCCCACTCATGAATCGTTCTACCTGCCGCCATTGCCTCATTCTGCTCCATTCCGTTGGCCATCAAGGTTCCCAGCGCTGAGATGGAGCCATCAGAAACACCCCGGACAGGGATCACGGCCACCATCTCTGCCTATCATTGGCTTCACAACTCTTTGTAGCTGGCCATCAAGGTTGACAAAGCTGTAAGTGGAAGTGCCTTGTGACGAGGTGACTGAGGGAGGCAGGTTGGGCGCAAGAGTTGATAAGATGGAAAACAAAACCGTCTGACTCCCGCGAAGACTACCTCTCTGACTACCTGACACGTTCCATGATTTTCACTGGCTCCTGACTCTATCTCACCATGACAGAAGCATTCATTCACGACGTTCTCATCATCGGCGCCGGCCCCTGCGGCCTAGCCGTCGCCTCCCGCCTATGTGAACACTCTCCCTCGGCTCTCTTCACAGACGAAGAACACCAGCGGTATCACTGGATCCGCAAGTACGGCCGCCGCATGCCACTGAAGAACAGACGAAACGGCAACATCATTGAGAAGAGGACACCAGAACGCAGCCAGCGGTACTCGACGTTAGTCTTGGACGCCACGGGTGACGAGTGGATGAACCGCTGGAACCGTCTCTTCAAGACGTTCGACATCACTCACCTCCGGAGCCCCATGTTCTTCCACGTCGATCCGAGTGACCGTGACGCTCTTCTCGCCAGAGCTCACGAGAGGAACCAGGAAAATGAGTTGCAAGAGCTTCGGGCGTGCGTCGGAAAGGAGATCAGCAAGCACCTGCGTAAGGCGAGGCTCAAGTCACGAAACCCAAAGTAAGCAGCAACAACTCGCTCCTTACATCTATACTTCTGTATGACCAATGTTAACTTGGACTTTCTCACAGACAACACGCCGTCGTCGAAGTCGACGAACGAGATCGCAAAGATTACTTCACACCCCCCACAAACCTCTTCGCCAACCATTGCGAATGCATCGTCGACCGCTACGGCCTCCGCGAAGGCCTCATTCAAAACGAAAAGGTGGAGGACATCCAATACCGCACCATCAAGCAAGTCTCCCCAGACGCAAACCTCTTTGCCGTTCACACGAACAAGGGAACCCACTACGCGAGAACAGTCGTCCTGGCCGTCGGCCCAGCCAACGCGCCCACGATCCCTCCCGTCCTAGGCCTCAACAGCGAACCGGGTTGCGCGGCGCCGCCCCAAGTCTGCCACAGCATGCAGATTCAAAAGTTCCCCGACCCGGTCGTGCAGGCCAAGATTTCTGCAAAGAAGACGACAAACGTCCTCGTCGTGGGCGGCGGGTTGACGTCGGCGCAGTTGTCTGACCTGGCTATCCGGCGCGGCGTGACTAAAGTCTGGCATCTCATGCGCGGCCCTTGCAAGGTGAAGCCGTTTGACATCGACCTCGCGTGGATGGGCAAATTCCGCAACGTGGAGCAGGCGTACTTTTGGTCCGCGGATTCGGATGAAGAGCGGCTACAACAGATCCAGAGCGCCAGGGGCGGAGGAAGCATCACGCCGCCGTACCAGAAGCGGCTGAAGCAGCATATCGCAAAGGGCAGCTTGCGTCTCTTGACCAGCACCAAACTATCCGAGGCTCGTTTTGACGAGGAGAAGAAGGTCTGGAACGTCAAGACGGAGCCGCCGGCTGCTGAGGGCGACTTGCCGGGTATGGACTTCATTTACTTCGCTACTGGAGTGCAGACGGATTACGCGAGCTTGCCGTATTTGCAGACGATGCTGCGGGAGTATCCCATTCACGGCCACGGGGGCTTGCCGTGTATAGACGATGACTTGAAGTGGTCAAAAGACGTGCCGCTCTTCTTGTCAGGGCGACTTGCCGCGCTACGTCTGGGACCCGGAGCTGCTAATCTCGCGGGCGCGCGAGCTGGTGCTGAGAGGATTGCGTGGGCTATCGAGGACATTCTTCCGGATCGGACTGGCGATGTACCGGGGGAGTCTGACATGAGTGATGAGAAGATGAGGTTCGTAACGGGTAGGGGGAACAGATTTGATAGCTTGATTACAGCGGGAGATGGTGATTGGTAGTAGCCTTGATGAAAATTGAACGAGACAAAGATGAGTACTACCTCAAGGAAGTACTGTAAGGCTATGATGATTCCTTTGACCTCTGAGTTCTCATTCTAGCTACATATTTCAAAACTCGGAGTACCTCATTCATTGATATTATTTGGGATCAAGCATTCGCTGGACATGCCAGAGGCTGCGAAATAGGCCGAATGGCCCTATAACAGGTTTTGGAGCGACCTCATCTGGCGTCCGATACTATCAAATTCGAATATGACCCACAGGCTATAGGGATATAACCAAGAACAGCGTCTAGGAATGTTGAATGTACAAACACGTTCGCTCATTCGGCTTTTTGGTTCACTTTGGGGCAGCTTCCTCAAGTTTGGCAGCGACGCAAATCGAGGAACATTCCGGCCAAGACGGCTCGTTCGAAATCACATGTAGTCCACTTCACCCATTTTCTTATCAACACCACGCGTCTTACCATCTTCCTGGGCTTCTGAGGTATATCGCATGGAGAATACTTCAGGGGAAACAGGTTGAACAGGCAGAGGGTGGTGATATCTTCGGTGGCAGAGACACAATCTTGCTGAAGACAGAAAGGCATATGGGGCACAGTCCTCGTATCTTGAGGGAGTGCAGATCCCTCGATCTAGAGCTTCGTATCCCTTGTCGTATAATTGCGAAGATTATCTCATTTCGACTTTTAGCAAGTATTTACACTGAGTAGGCCTGTCTCGATTGATCCGCGCGGTGTCGTTTGTGTGTCTATCCATAGACAATGTACTCCCTGCAACTCTTTGTGACGTCAAGACAATGCTTCACGTCTATCTTCTTTACTTTTTGAGGACATTAGAGAAAAGGATTGAATATTACACTGCCGAATCTCCTAAGTACACTGTGTCTTGATTGACAGCACCTAATTGACGTTTCATCTCCGCATACGTGTTGCTCTTAGGTGGACTTTTGGCAAACAGCCACAGACCTAACAGTTTCATAAACACTTGGAGAGTACGAGCATGCTGAAAGGCATTCAGGCAACACTCAGACTTATCTCACCGATGGAAGAAAGCCTGCCTCAATTACCAGTCAGGACGTCAATTAGCAACGTCGCTGCCTCCAGTCTGTTATACGGACTGACATAAAGTCGAGTAAAAGACCTGTGACCAAGCTCCCACCATATAGGAACAACGACGTTGACCGAAAGTCCGCTTCGGCTATCTGTTGGCATTGGTCCCCGGCCCGAAATACGATGCGGAGTCCCGGACTTCTCGGAACCGAGTACGTACGACGTCTCCTCGATATTCGTCATCTCCCGGACCAAGCCATCTAACACCATTTCTTGTGCTAATGATGCCGCATGGCGCGTTCATAATCAAATAATCTTCAGCTATCGCAGTTCTAGTCTCCGCAATCATGCCGTACAAAACCTACCATCCCGCCGGTTCCGCCCTATCGCCTCCATTGACGTTCACGACGTCTTTCTCCACTCGTATCCCATTCGACCCGAAGTGTGCTTAGTGAGATTCAGACTTTCTACCATTCACCTACACCAACATCTGCCGAGGTCCCAAATACACCGATGCGATAAAAGGTACCCGCGTGGCTGAGTTAGTCTAGAACTCAATCCCATTATTCCACTGATTTCGATGTGTTCCTGGCTTGGCGAGAAGAGCTCATCTATCTGTACCGATGACCAACTTTGGTGGCGCGTAGAAAGCACTCAAAAATAGACTCTCGCCATGTTTGGACGAAATAAGATATCCGGTATATCTGACATTTTTTCCAAGGCCACCAATAGTCCGAGGATCTAGGTACCATCAGGTACAGCACCAGATAGACAGCAGCGATTCCCCACCTCGTGTTTACAATTAGAGATATACCACACTATCACTGTGTCACACCACCTTATATCACCGAGGGAAATACCACCGAATGCCACGGCTTTTCCTCACGCTTCATCTTTCTGGAACGCCTACTACAGAGGAGAGGGGCTTCCGCCAAGAGAAGATGAGCCCATGCGTCGAGTCCGCTTACCTCATCCCGAGAGCGAGAACAGAAACAACCGACGTTCGGTTCATCCGGAGACACCGACCTTGGATCTTTATTCTTCCCCGGTCTCGTCCAAGACCGTAGATGAAGAGAAGGAGTGGAGAGAGGAGAGGTGGAGGCCGCGTCTTCAATGCCATACTATCACCCGGGTTTCCCGCTTCGCGCGGACTCCCTCTCGCTGGACCCCCCATCGGGCCGGTATGTGACAAGGTATGGCCGTTCTGCAACCGCTCCCCCAAGGATGCCTCAATATACTTTCTTAGACCTCACCTTGCCCTGGACCTGAGTCGAGTTCCTGGTTTTCTCTGGGCCCTTCCTCCTCCCCTCCCACTCCCACTCCCACTTCAACTCCACCTCCACCTCCCGCCCCAGAGCCGCGCGCGCGCGGCCGCTGCGGCCCCCAACTTAATACCAAAGGCTACTCCCACCGGCGAAAAGCCGCCATCTAGAGCTCGTATACCGATACCAGTCACCAGTACGAATAAACCACCAGTGACCGCAATCCGTATTTCGGGGCGTTTCTGTGGAACAGAATGACGAGCCGTCTTTCGTCGTTCATTTTCCACGGGCGATACCTTGTTCCTACCATGTGACAGAGGAGGCCTCGCCGGGGTTCGACCCTACCTACAGCACGGATAGGTGGCGTTCTAGACCTGGAGAACGGGCGGAAGTGCGAGGTTATTAGAGGAGTTACGCGGAGAAGATGGATGGGTCGGGAGAGTCATGGCATGCACTGTGAATCCGGGGCAAACTCGAGTTCCCTCTTCCTTTTTGCTGGAAATGTGAGGTTCATGAACTAGACCCTTTTGTCATTTTCCGCCCTTGCGACGAACGCCTCGTCGAACTAATGAGTCAACATCATGGGGAGCCTCACTCATGCTACGCTGTGAATCTCACGCTGATGAATACCGACGTTTCTCGCCTCACATGGCTGTTATTAACGAGGCGGTCTAAAGCACGTTTGGGGGGTGGTTCATGAGATTTGTGTGGAATAAAGTGTTCCCTTTTTGCCACTCAGTCACTGACTGACACATTCGCTATCTGCCCATAAAACACCAAAACCTAAATCCCTGGGCCCCAAGCTCATCCAATTTACCCCAAACGCCGTCGCAATATCTCGCCATCCTCAAGAGTTGAGTATGTGAATGTGTGAGTCCTTGTTTAGAAACACTGCTCTGAAAATGTTGAAAAGAGCGATGATTTTGCGCTCTATATACAAAAAAGATGTTTTTTGTTCGTTCCACGCTTTCGTCCACGAAACGTTTGCCAGCGCTCTTTTTTGCGTAGTGTGTTGTTTCTCTCCCACGGAATGACGATCCTGTTTCTCATCTTGCAAAGAAGAATCAAACGCTTTGTGTGGGTTGTGAACCGTAAAATCCCCCGGCTGGTATAACCTCCCAATCCGTACTGTGTCGTCGTAGTCTCTCTCGATATGTACACTCTATGTAGCCAGGTTGTTTGTAAATGCAAAAGAAAAGGGGTGGGTGTAACAACATGAAGAAACAAACTTTTGCAAGCCAGGGCCAAAGGAAACCTTACGGCATTGCAACACGCTTTCCGCTTGTCATCTCGATGACGGCAAAACTTTCATCGACAGTTCAATGCCTGATAACAATATCAAAAATTCCAAGGCGCGCTTTAATTTCGCTCAATCGGGTTCTCCCACTTGATCGGGTGCAGCAGCATGCTGCGCATGCACAAGCGTCCAGAGCTGTCCTTGTGGGACTCTTCATCTTGGCCTCCGCGTAATGTGCCCTCGCCGGCGCGGCCACCGTTACCGCCGCGACCGTCCATCTGGGGGTATCCGAGCCATCGGCGCCAGAGGAGACCGGCAAACTCCGAGTTGTAGTACCAGCTGGTGCCCTTGTGGTTGTGCTCGTTCTTGAGGTCAAAGGGGCTGCCGTGACCTCCCGTAGTGCCATCGCGGCCGCCGTTGAAGGCCTTCTCGATAGTGTTAAAGGGGTACCATGCTCTATCCAGGAATACCGGGTGAGGTGCGTAAGCCGCCTTGAAGCCGTGGTGGAGAGCCATGCTGGCGGGGAACATTTCCGAGAACATGCTGTGGTGCAGACGCCACATCTCCTCATGCATGGCGGCCAAGAGTCGGCGAGATAGTCGTGAGGCTGTGACGATGGAGCATCGGCGCGGTGGCGGAGCAAAGACCATTTCGTAGCCAGTGACATCCTTGGCAAAAACCCAGCCGGATTCGTCGGCGTCGAAGAGGGGATTCAATGTGATGAGGTCGGCTTCCTCACCAACACCACACTCGTCAGGGTTGCCACCGCGGGCGCAGGAAGCGGGCAGAATGGAATGGCCAGCCTCCTCACTCTTCAGCGACATGCGGCCGGGGAAAATTTGGGGGCCCAGGATGGCGCGGCGGCCAGATGCGTTGAGTTCTCTCTCGACAACACTGGCGAATTCGTTCCATGAACCGTGCTCGGCGGGGATGTAGTACTTGGATGATCGCTCCCAGAGAAGGGTGCGAGTCTGTTGCTTAGCCCAGGATCCCAGGCGGTCGAGCAATTCGTAGTATGAGCCAATGTAGCGCATATCCATCTCCCAGTTCCAAAAGTGGGCGTATTCCGGGTGCTGAAGGGCGAAGACCTGAAGGGGCATCTGGGCGCTGCGGTAGACTCCGTGAATGTCTCCGTTCGAGGGATTCTCAATGGCGTCGGCGAAATGACCCGGGTAGTAAAGCTTCATCTCGGCCTCTGACCAGAGAGTACAGAGCGAGTGGAATTCGGTGGGAACGTTCGCATCGAGGATGCTCTGCACCACTGAGGGGTCTGACCAGATGGCAGCCTCATTATCCTTCACATGGAGAAGGAAGTGAACGCTGTACTCGCCACCAGACTTGAGGGAGAGCTCGGAGATCATCGCGCGGAAGTTGACGATGGCGAGCTGTGTCCACTCGAATCCGACATAGGTGCGGACGACAACGGCAATTCGATCAATCTGCTTGACTCCCGTCTCGTTTGTTTCGGGCTCACTGTAAATCGAGTCGTACGTGCTCTGCTTGGTACCATTATTGAAGCGGGCGCTGTTGCGTTCGATACATCGATCTTGCGCAACACCCCAATCAACACGGCTGTAATCGATCTTGCCAGTCTTGGTCCAAATAACGTCAGCTCCCTCTTGCTCCGTATCTTGACCCTGAGAAGTGCCTCCCTCGCGAATGTCGTAACCAAGTCCGTAGGGGCCGTAGCGGCCAAATCGATCGAAACAAACGTCATTGCGTAGGCCGAGCACGGTGTGAGAGCCGATGGCGGGATCGGGCTGGTTTTGGGGGACACCATCAAATGCCCAAATGTCAGGGACTGCGATCTTGTCTTCCTCATCGACAAAACATTCCTTGACAGGGTGGTAATCTCTCTGATACTCAGTAGACGCGTAGTTTGGGTGAGCTGCGTAAGGGGTGGGAGTAGGAGGGGTATCATGGTAAATCGGCACGGTGGTGACGGGTGCCGGAAAAGAGTTGTTGGGATATTCAGGTGTGTGGTTGGCAATGGGAACGATAGACTTCAGACCGTTGAAGTAGCCATTGAGACTTTGTAGCATTAGCGAGTTGTTCACAGCTCTTAGAAAAGACATGGCACTCACTGCTTGAACTTAAGCCATGGCGGCATGTCACTGTCGATAATGAGATCTTCCTCTGGTGGCGCCGGCCTTCCCTGCTTCTTTGGGTCGCCGCCCATTCCACCTATTCTGTAATCATCTCCTAGAATCTTTCCATCTCGAGTGTATAGTGGCGTATTCAGGTACGCGAGCGCGATCAGCATAGAAATTGTCACCGTCCATATCACAACCCTGCGATACAGGCAATGGCCTAGTATCGCGCGCACCCGGAGTTTCGGTTGTGGGATCGTAGTGGCTGGCGCGGGGAGAAAGAACTCCCCCTTCTCCTGTCCTGGGGTTGACTGGAATAATGAGTTTGAGCGGGATGAACGGGTGCTGGACCGGCTGCTGCTGATGGATCGTGTCGTGCTGGTGAGTAGAGAGTGTGCTCGCTCCATGATTGCCGGAGTGAGTAGTTGGGTATCTGGGTATCACAAAAACATCTGGTGATGGAAACTTGGCCTAGCGGAAGAAAAAGATCGAATGCAAGAGGGAGCGCGAGAGAGGGGAGCAGCGAAGGTTAATACTATAAAGAAGGGAACAAAATTGTGCAAGTGACGTTTTTGCTTCCATGTCCAGACACCGGCTCAGACCTTACTTTCAAACAAGCCAACTCCCTGCACAGAGTGTTGGACGTATAGAAGACTCAAAAACTCACATATCATGCAACAGAGCGAGCAGATGGGACCGACAAGTCGGCAGCGGGGGGGTGGTTGACCGGGCTGATCTGCGGAGAGAGAGGCAAGCAGTCGGCCTGAGTTGGGATGTCCAGGGTTCGGGGACTGCCGAGCCTCCTTGCCTCTTTGGCTCTGACTTGACTGTCCACCATTCCCACGCCAGACTGTCTCAGCTCCCAACGTCGCGGGGAGCGAGCAAGGATTTGCCTTGAGCCGCCAAGCCGGGGACAAGGGGCCAATGAGCCTCAAGTTGTTGCGGAAGAAGTGCTTCTTCCATCCCTTCCCCAGCTTCCAAGCCCATCATCGTATCGTTTGGATTGAATGAGCTTGGCAGGTCCCGTATTCAGGAGTTGGACCCAACCTCATCGCTCATACCGGCCTTACTGAGACCATACGAGAGCTTGGTGGTATTCCAGACCCATCGCGTTCCGATATCCGAAAAATAAGGACCTTGGTGATGATCCTTCGGATACCCGCCACAGCCGGGACGCCAGCTGGACGGACGAATCTGCAGCACAGGCAAGACAGCCTTCGCGCAGCTGTATCAGAGCGTATGGGATCAGCGCCTCGTTGGTAGGGGAAGGAGGAAGAGAGACTCGAGAGTGTGAGAAGGGGTTGCGCGTCCCTTGTGGGGCCCTGGCAAACCTGGCTTATGCGTAGATCCGTCTGGTATAGGACCAAGAACTACAGTTGGTTAACTTGGTTCCTCTCCCACTCTGCTCGCGACACGGCACCCAAGAACAGGGAGGGTGGCTGTAGCTTGTTGCTAAAGAAAGCAACCGGGACGTGAATCGGGGCGTCGATTAAGGTGTGGACATGCAAGGAACGTGGTTGAAGCGCACGGGAGCTGCTGCATCTGAAACCGTCGACGTTGCGGCGTTGGGCGACGTTTCATGCCAAGCTCAACCCACGTTGCGAGTTTGGTGGTGCGATTTGTCAAGTTAAAAGACGGGGGGCAAGCGAATTGGGGGAAAAACTCCAAGAAAAAAAGACCGGCATTGGGCTTCTTCTGGGGGCGCGGAAAACCGGCGCTGGGACGGCGTGGTTCGTCGCTCCAGCCCTGTTCGTTCCATTCCATCCCCTCTGCAGCACTACAATTCTGCCGTCCGCGGATGGAGTGGGCTGTTTTGGGGCGCCACAACCCTTCAAATCGTCCAGTTCCTGTTGCGGCTCTTGTTTTGTTGGCGTTGTATTTCTGGCAGACCGAATCAGGAAGGCCATGGTCCGTAATTGTATCGGTGTGGTCTCGTATGGTCCAAATCCTAAGAATCCCATCTTCGTTCTCTGGTACGTCGTCGTCGTAATGAACGCCACCGGAAGGCCATCTGACGGTGAGCCGAACGTAGTCTCGCCCACTCAAAGTGTTTATACCGGCACAATTAGCTTCGGGCTCAGGCAAGGCGGACGCCTACGCCCTTTCAGTCGGGTCTTGCTTCAATTCGATCTTATTTCGTCCGGTCACCATTGTTGTAAGGTGGTGGGAATGCGTGACCTGTTGGCCCGCAATCCGATCCTGAACTATACGGTGAGAACACCAAGAGGCTCTCTACCTCATTCCCGTGGAAGTTTCATCCGTATGCACTCCGGCTGTTCAGCTGTCTTGGCTTCCGCTGGACCCTGTGCTTCTATTTGCAAGAGTAGTATTGCCATCTCGAGGTCTATGCGTTCCTCGTTTGCGAGGATTGAAAGCACTGACAAAGAATCGCCCCTGCAGCAGCTGATGATCAATAACAATCTGAGCCATCATATTTGCCCCAAGTAATGGCATGAGAACCACGGCTTGAACAGTCGACAACAGATTTAGAAGTACTCAAGGACAGCAGGTTGGCCATAGTGTGCCGAAGCCGTTAATCTGCCGCCCTGCCGCCCGTCAAATTGATTGATGTTCTTTAAACTTGGAGGCCGTGAAGGGTGACGGACGGGCTTCTAGCATCCTATTCGAGCTAGTCATCGAGACTAGGGGCCCGCCATCATCGACGGGATGCCATCATGGGTTTCGACCGAGCTCTCCCAGGTCAAGTGTTCGTCGTGAAGCAGTTAAACTAACCTTCTTTCGCGTGGACCAGGAAGCCTGAATAGGCATACCAGGTTGGTTTGGATTAAACCACGATGATAATTCCCGAGCCTCATGGATAGTGTTCAATATGCGTCATGCTAGGCAACTGACACCTGGGCCTGTGGGAGCCGTATAATAGAGGCATCGCGTCACTGATTGATGGTAGAGTTTTTCCGAAACTGCCTCCCTTTGAGCTTCGAATAGAACGCCTTGCAAGGTCCAAGCTGGGATTAATGGAAAATAAAGGCTGGGTTATTAGTGACGTCAGTTCCGGCCGCGGGTGCCAGTGACAGCGGGGGTATATTTGCGATGGTGCGATGACATCGTCTGTCAGCTGAAATTGTTAGAAAGCCTCGGGAGGGCGGACGGGCGAGAGTTGTGAGGAAGTTCAGGATGGAGGGGAAGAAGGCGGGAAGGTTGTCGAGTCGAAGAAGGGAGGGGGGCATAGGCCAGGTCCCGGCGCTGGTCTTCGTGAGTTTGTTGAAGGTCTGATTGTCTGTCCTCGTCGGCCATGACTCGTCCGAGTCGCAAAGTGAGTTGGGACTTTCCAGATAGGGCGAGATCGAAACAGAGGATTGCGTGTCTATCATGGAAACACTATCCTGACGCGCGATGGATTGACCAAGATCACGACGCTCGCCCTAGATCTGAACGGCGTGTGTTTCGGTGTTTGGACGGTTCGTCGATTTTTTACCACAAGGTTATGGGGGAAACGCGAGGAGCGAAGACGGAAGTGTCAAGCGCCAATAGCCAGGGAGATCCAGACGGGAAACAACGTAGAAACTTCTTAGTCATCGGCCAGGCGTGTCATCGTAAAGTAAATAGGCTCGACAGGTACGAAAGGCTTGTTCTAGCCAGGTCAATCGGAGGTTTGGTGAACCTTGGTTGGTAGCTGCAACCTGAAGGACTTCTGTCCGTCAATGAAAGGCCCGGCATAGGTAAATGTAAATACATGGAGAGAGGGAGTTTGGGCCGGGAATGTGAACAAGTTCCTACGGGTGCCAGCCAGCTGGAGCCAGCTGTGTGTGGCTTCAGCCTCGAGATCCGACCTAAGTCACGTGTGACAGCCCGATCGCATGGAATTGAGGCTGAACCTCGCCTCAGCCACACTTGTCTTGCAAGCGGAAATTGCTTAGCGTGCACCTGCCCTACCCGCACACAAGCGACATTTTCAGCAAAACGACTGAATTTCACTTCCCCCCGCCGGCCCCGACAAATTCATCGTCACGACACTCCGGCAAGCGAAATCGACAAACAGCCGCCAAGATGGGTAAGTCCTTATTGGAATGAATTGTTGTGCTATTTGGGTGTTATTGCCAGCAGCCGGATTCGATTTAAGAAAGAGAAGGATTGCCGACCTCGCCGACCGTTGCGTTGCCGCCGATTCGTGATCGACAAAAAAGACTTGGGAACGGGGGGAATGATGCACGAATATCGACACGAACACACATCGACATCCGCCACCACGGCAGCGCTCGACGGAGAGGATGTTGGCTTGAAAGGGATCGATCTGGCTGCGGCAATGGCACATGAATTTCGCGAGATGGACTTGTGGTCTTGACGATGGATATTGGAGGCTGACTCTGGGTGCAGTGAACATTCCCAAGACGCGTATGACCTACTGCAAGGGCAAGGAGTGCCGCAAGCACACCCAGCACAAGGTCACCCAGTACAAGGCCGGCAAGGTATGTCTAAAGACACCCGCGCGCGACGACCGACTCCAAGCGACGCACTCCCGATATACGATCCGGACGGTTCACTAAATGGTTGTTTGATGTAGGCCTCGCTGTTCGCGCAGGGAAAGAGACGTTACGACCGAAAGCAGTCCGGTTATGGTGGTCAGACCAAGCCTGTCTTCCACAAGAAGGCTAAGACCACCAAGAAGGTTGTCCTGCGGTTGGAGTGCATCAAGTGCAAGACCAAGCTCCAGCTCGCCCTGAAGCGCTGCAAGCACTTCGAGTTGGGGTATGATATCATTCCATATCTAATGGACGCGACCTCGAATCATATACTGACAACCCTCATAGTGGTGACAAGAAGACCAAGGGTGCTGCCCTCGTTTTCTAAACGCATTGTGTTTTCGGTCGACCGACTTTTATGGCTCCTTTCACGGCACACGGATCATCATCAGGCTGGAACAATGGCGGCGAAGAGGGTTACCAGTTCTCATTTGAGGAACTCTACATAGGGAACAAATAAAAGCCCTTGCTTGCGAACGGATACCAAAAGCAATTCATCCAGCTTCCCTCCCCTCCTCATCCCTCACCTGCTGTCGCGCGCTTAGAGAGACCATACAACCGAAAAGAAAAAAAAGTGACAAGAGAAAATGCGGGATGCGTGGGAACTCGACAAACGGTTTGTCCTGAGGGTGGTGATCACACTCGAGGTGGGATGAACTTGTCCCTGTTGAGACATGCCCAGGCTCCCGAATCTGTGGTCGCTAGAAGATAGATGCCTTCTATGAGGCTCAACCGGTCAATCACATAACTGAGTCACGAAATAACGTTATCATGTTCAACTCCTATCCCATCTATTTGTCCAATGTGAATCAGATCAGCCGCGTCATCTCTGCCACGCCGTCTATCCCTCATCTAGATCTTGAGTTCGTTTCTGCAACACGCCCAGACGCCGAGGCGCCCAGCCAGGTTTCCGTCTCAGAAGCCCTCCCCTAGCTTGATCGTCCTCCCGCCTCCGTACCACAGCTGCCCATTACGGGCATCCAAACCCCTTTCCTGCCCAACAACCCATTCCCCAATCCATTCGGCATCCGGACGGTCCCAAACCTCCTTCTCAAGCCACGCGTTGATCTCGTCAATGGCCTCAACCCACTTCTTCCTCGCCTCGGGCGTATCGTGGTCCTTCTCCGTAAGGTACCGACCCAGCGTGATGTGCGCGCTCGGCACCTGGTACCTCGACTCGATCTGCACGCCCGTCGACTGCGCGAGGGTGAAGATGTCGCGGCGGAGGTGGTGGTAGGTGTAGTCGTCCCCCTGCACGATGGCCTGTTGCTGGGCGGTCGGCGCCGGGGGCGGGCTCAGGGGCGGCTCGCCAGAGGCCGGGAGGAAGGAGACGGCGAAGGCGGAGAGGTCGTAGGAGATCATGGGCCTTACGAGACGGGACCTGTGGGAGTAGGTGTAGTCCGTGATGTAGGGGATCGCCGAGCGCATGTTATCCGTGAGAGTGATGATCTCTTGGGGCGTCTTGGAGTGCGTCACCTCGAGAGTTGTAAGGTGCATTCGGTGTTGGGGCATGAGCCAGATACCTTTTGAAGGTTCCCGTGTTAGTCAAGGGGGTCTCTATTGCCTCTTCATAGTTGCACTGTTTAGGGGTCTCACTCGGTGCGGCCTTCTTTAGCAAAGACTGCAGATAAGCCGAGAGTTGCACGATGTGATCCGGCGGCCGAGCCCAAAGCACCAAGCAGTTACGAGGGTCCTGGAAACCCGGTTCCATCTCCGGATTTTCCAATCTCAGAAGGAAAGGGTCAATGATGAGCTCCTTGAAGTCAGGAGCAATGAACTTTTGCCTCTGCTGCTCATTTCTCTTCGTTCTGTGGGCTTGGTAGAGAGCCTGGATCTCCGCCTGCGTAATTGTCACTCATCAGATTTGGAGGCTTCTTTTTACAGGCTGGCATTGGATTTTGGACTTTACTGGGTTATCATTGCAAGCTTTAATGAAGGCTTCATATGGATTTTGACCGGGCAGGATCGTGATGCCAGACAAATCTTCCAATTTGTTCTTGGCATCGGTCGAGACGAGTTCAGAGCCCATGTTGGAAGTATAAGAAGACGTTGGTTTTTTTTGGAGTGTAGTGTCACTTGAATATTTTTTCAAGTCTCAAGCAGATACTAGACAAAGACACGAGAATATAGCTACTCTGAAGAACGAGGCTTAGACGAGAAGCGGAGCGAGGACGGAAAGTGAACGCGAGCGGAATAGGTCAAGCGCCGAGGCTGGACTTCGTATCGAGTCCCGGCGAGTCGAATGAGGACTAAAGCTATCGACGAATCTAGATAGCTGAAGAGTGAGGTCGTCGTCACCGCCAATCAATACGCCCTTCAGCTGCACCTGGGCCGCGAGCCAATTACGGACGGGGAGATAGATGGGTGCCGTCGGTCACCGGCGGAGACTGCTTTTAATGACTAAGCTATACACGCTCTGTGTGGGGTCACATGACATGGAATCCTCCCGTGGTGCCATGGCCAATCGGGTATGCTGTTGCCTCTGGGGCTCATCTTGTTTTGACTTCAGGCCTCTGAATTGCAGACGGATTTACCGTGATTCATGTTGTTACCTTCACACTATCAAGTCGTGATTGCAGGTTTGTATTAATCATAGTAATTCATGCCGGGGCAAGTGCTCAATCACTGCTGCAGAGCATTGCAGGCCGCAGCTCTAGTGACGTTTGGGTCGCTTTTCCACACGCGCAGTAGTCTAGGAGAATGGTATCGGACCTTCGAAATTCGAAGGCTTGGATGACCGAATTCCAAGTGTGTATGCATACGCTTCTCTCTGTTCTGTTTTTAACTTCCAATCGAGCGACTAGAAGTTATGAAATATGGACTCCTGTTCGTTTCCTAGGCATGTCCGGATTACGGACATGTGAGTCGACTTCGGTGCAGAACGAAGACATCATCACTCCCACGCCCCTTTTCCCCATCTTCTCATCTGTCTCCTCTATTACATATATCCCTTGCTGCATGGCTGTTTCCATGAGATATCACTCGTTTCCTTTCTGGATTGACTTGTCATCGTTTCTAGCTAGATAATTCTACAAAGCACTATCACCGTGTCTTAAGCTGTTTCTGGCTTCCAGCTATTGTGGAAGAAGTCAATTCCTCTCCCATGACAATTTTCACATGGCCATTAGTATGGCTACTATGATAAGCAGTCTCAAAGTTGGACATGGCATGAGCGGACAAAGGTCAGTTTACTTACGTTTGCAAGTTGCGTATAATATGGCTCGATACTCGTAGCTGTCTCTTGCCATCGGCCTGCTGGTCGACGTGATCCTTTTTGTTTGCTCACGCATCGTTACCAACATCTGATGGAATGTACAAATCAAACATTAACATCGACTCAACTATTTCTACCTTGTTCCTGTCATTTGGTGAGCTCCAAGTCTTGGATTGATGTAGTCCTCTCAAGGAGAAGGTATAGCAGTGCTCAGATGATTGTCAATACTTTGCTCTGAAGATGTTGAGTGGTGCCATCGACGGATGCGCTGACTACCAGAACCAACAAACTCCCGCATACATGTCTTGAACACAACATCATCAGTCTCAGTTCTGGTCACCGCACTTTCAACAATGAGAATGTTCATTCTGAGCAGAAAGTAGCCTCTTAATTTCTTCTTCTGCTTCTTCTGCCCTTCAACGTTGTCATGTTGTCAAGCAGAAAGTCTCTGCGAGTAGTTCTCGCCTTGGGAGTACATCACATGTCTGTGACAGGCCAAAGGTTGTAGAGAAGGACTGGCTGGAAGGCACCGACTTATTTTCCTTTCAGGGGCACTCGTCTAAACTGCAAAGACTCAAGAGTGTCTTTGCTGAGCAAGAATATCTTAGCCAAACTCAAGCACGGTCTATCTGAATTTGACTTCGATTTTGAATCATTCTCAGTGCCCTGTCTCTCACCACATCCTTTCTGGTGATACTCAGCAAGATACACATAGATGATCAACTGCCCACACCTTTGAGCAGAAGACTCTTCTTCTTTGAGATAGAGCTGATAGTCCTTCACTCAAAGTTACACCCTGTCTCTAGAATGTAATGGACAGATGAACATGGGGCTCCTCTTGAAAGGCCATGGCTTCGTTAGGAAACCATCAAGTGATAGCTCTCGCCATAAAGAGCCATCAAGACGGGGAGCACCCGCCTTGTCACGCAAATTCCTCTCATCACGAAGAGAGGTCGACCCTCAATACCCTTTTGCGGGGCCCCTCACACAATGTTCCCATCTCCCTTCTCAGGGGCACCCGCCTTGTAAGACGTCCTCAGGGGATAGCTCTCGCCCCGAATAGCTTCAAAGGTCGAGGGCACCCGCCTTCTTGAGTCTAACCCTCTTCTCCGCTCTGAAGGCGGGAGCACATGACTTTTCGTGGGGCCTCCCACAAAGATTCTTCCATCCACCTTGAGCCTGGAAAATCCCCCAAAACTCTTCCACTTTCCACTTACCTCTCTTCTTCCCTCTTCTCAACACTCTCATCACTCTTACTGAGATTCATCACTTTGCCAGCTTCTGCCACACACCAAACCAGACCAAGTTCTTCTTCCTTTTGTTCCATTATCAACATCACCAGAAGCCCTCAAAAATCATCAAAATCTGCTGATTTTGGGGGTGTTTTGGCTGTGTCTCGTCGTTGGTACATACCTCACTTGACCGCTGCAACCAGACTTCCCTTTTTTTTTCTTTCACCACCTCGAAAACTCCTCCTGTGGCAGACGTCTCTGCTGTCAGTTCATTGCTCTTTCGCAAGTATGGATTTTCCTGTTGGCCAAGATGAGCAGGGAAATCCTTTCCCAGATCCCGATCCCGCGAAGATCCTTGGCCCCAATCCCGACGAAGGATGGCCTAAGGATGAACATCCACAACAAGGGGGCCGCCAGGTTGCCAGAGGTTTTCTTGAAGATCTCTATGACTTTGATGATCTTGACGCTCACGTTGGGGGCCCTGGCTCATTTGCTTTCACGACCGCCGAGCAGGATATCGATTTCCACACCAGTTTCGAGGGGATGCCTCCCCTCCCTGCTCCAAACCGTCCGGCCAACCAGGGTTCTGGGCCGACAGGCCTCCCAGAAATTGGACGGGCCAACGACAGCAATGACCTCGCCTATGAGCACGGCAATGGCGACGCCGCCATGGAGCAATTTTACGCTGATGACGAGGGAAGGGTGTGGTGTCTTTACAGCCACGGATACGACAGTAATGGCCGACTCATCGCGACTTACAGATACATCGACGATAATGGGGTTCAATTGACGCGGCAACAGATTGTACCCCTGATACCATCTGAGCAGACCTTCGGCCAGGATAACGATCGCCATGACGACACTATGGCTCAACAAAACCAGGGCTTGATGCACAGTCAAGGCATCAACCAAGGCTCTCCATCCTATGTTCCAGTCGGACCTCCAGTCGAAGATTACTATGGTGGCCAACATGGTGGCTCCACCTCGCAGGAACTACCTGATAGCCTTGCCCCCATGGCTTCTCGCTTGACTGCTGAGTCTCCGTCGGGTTCTGCATATCCTTCGGTGTATTCACCTCGCGTGGGTTCTCCTACTCACGTGATTTCGGGTCGCGCAGCTTTTGCACCTGGACTCAATTTTACAACCCATTCACCTTCTGGATCTCAGTCCACTTCAGCGAATTCAGAACCCGGAGCAAATTCCACACCTCAGCCCACCATGGATCAAGCAGTGCCTGTTCTGGTCATGGATGAGCGATCTGTGAACCGCCCGCGCGACGCCTTTCCAATCATCTTCGACAATGCATTGAAGCTCGGTCTGGAAAAGCTCCTCGATGCCGGCGGCGTGTCGTTCAGGATTGCGACCATGTGCTCCGACACGGATGGTCCCATCCTGGCTCTACGCGAGTTCGTTGAAGCGGCCACCGCCTGCGGCTATCCGGGACTCCTTCAGTACAATCATGTCTTCAGCGTTGAGATCGAACCGTTCAAGCAAGCCTTCATTCGTCGCAATGCAGCTCCTTCAGGCCCGATCTTTCGCAATGTCGTCGACGTTGGCATGCCCGGAGCTACTCAGGCGTAAGTTCTTCAGCCCTCACCAGCGTTCTTCCATGTACTGACAGTAGTGTAGTATGACGGCTTCCGGAGCCATGGCCGATATCCCTCTGGGAATCGACATTCTCATTGCTGGAAGCTCTTGCGTCGACTTTTCGAGCCTGAACTACGCGAAGAACGACAAGAAGAAGAAGTCTGGTCTCAACAAGCTTTTCGAGCGATTCAAGGGCAGGGGCGTCTCAGCCATTCAACAGGACGACCCGATGGCCAGTCAAGTTGTCGATGGCCTTCAACAAATCTTCGAGAGCATCAAAGATGAGAAGGGAGAGTCAACCAAAACTTTCCTGTCCATTCTCATGTATGCCCACGCACATCGGCCCAAAATCGTCATCTTGGAGAACGTTACAAGAGCTCCGTGGGACCAATTCAAGAAGTTCTGGCTGCCAAGCATCGGATACGAGGCGGCGTATGTCCAGGTCGACTCCAAGAACTTCTTAGTCCCTCAAACGAGGCAGAGGAAATATCTACTCGGAGTGGATGCTCGCTACTATGGGAACAAGGCCGAGCAGATCGTCAACACATGGGTCAAACTCATGGACGTTACGCAGTGGTTCAAGAATCCGCCTGACCTCAAGAAGTTCTTGCTTCCCCCGTCTGATCCGCGCGTGCTTCAGACTCGATTCCAGTTGGAAAGAACGCTGCTCTCGAGGCCGAAGAGGGACGTCGAGGCTGTTCATTGTGCTGCCGATCATAGGTCGGCACGTCGAAAGGAAGAGCTCGGCACGTCGAATCCATATACTCGGATGGATGACAGAGGCAACGTTCAGCCCCGCGAGGACACCTGGCAGGGCGTCATCTCAGTCTATACTTGGCGAATGCAGGATCTACTCGACATCGAGTACCTGAGAGCACAGAAGAAGGGGTATGACTTCACCCACAAGATGTTCATTCTTGACGTCGGACAGAACGTGGATCGACAGAGTGGAAGGCTGGGTGTAATTCCGTGTGTTCTTCCCTCAGCTGATCTCTTCATCTCGTACGACGGTCGTCCTCTCCTCGGACTCGAGTGTCTCGCTGTGCAGGGCATTCCCGTTGACCGCATCTCGCTTTCGGTCGAGGGGGAAAACCAGCTCAAGGACCTTGCCGGAAACGCCATGACGACCACCGTGGCCGGTGCAGCTATCCTCTGTGCCCTCATTGCCGAGTCCAGGTTCAAGAGGAAGGCAAGCAACAGGCACTTGCAGGGCCTCGCCCAAGCCACCTCGCTGCTGCCTAGCAGCATCGTTCATGACAACTCGACTGACGAGGCCGGACCTTCCAATTTGTTGGATTCTTTCCTTACCCTCGACACCTCCTCTCTTGGACGCAAAACCCACACATCTTCCAGCAGAAAAGGAAAAGAAATCGATCGATCAATTTCGGCCTCGCAAACCACTCCCAACAAGATGGCTTGGCAGGAGATTGTCTCCTCCGGCTGGGACGGCAATAGATCAGTCGAGTTTTTCTGCACTCTCTGCCTCAATGGATGCCGGAAATGTCGCTGCGACGCCTTCCGCAAGCATCAACATACCGGTGTTTATCTGCGATGCAAGGACTGCAATGAGACGCGCTGCCAAAGCTGTGCTGGAAATCCGGACCACAACTTTGATAGGGCTCACCCCATCGACGACAAGGTGTCAATCGGCAGAAGTTTGGCTCAAGAGCTTGCGATTGCTGCTTTGCCAGCTCATCTCTACATCGATTGGGCAGGTACCGATACCGCTCACAGTATCGATATTCTCCACGAACTCGACAAGCAGATCTTCAGCGATCACCTCGAGGCTTTACATCGCGCAATCCAGACGTGCGCAGGCGGAGTTCATTACTACCAGACGGACCTCAAGTTCAGAGACGACCTGACTGTGACTTACGAATCCGAAAAGTCAACCATCGTCGTTGTCATCACCGGAAAGGACATTACGTGGAGCATGCATCTGAGACCCGTCTATATCGAATTCGGGCGCCCATCGATTCGGAACGATACCTCAGCCAGCGAAGTGGCAGTTCAATTGGCTGCTCTAGATTACGACCTTCGCCAGCCTCTCTTGAAAGCAGTACTCACCGATCATAACGCGGATTTCACTCCTACGGCAGACAACTAGAAGCTGTTTGTCCAAGGCAAAATCAACGTGGATCTGGTTCAAGAACGCGCCAACGATGGAAGGATGACCGGTTTCACCCAGAAGTTTATTGAAGTCAACGGCCTTGCACCCTATTTAGTGAACGAAATCACGAATGTCATCAACGGGGACTACCACTTTACAGATAAGTGCGCAACCCCATTGGGGCTCCTCTTCACCAAGCACGATCCTCTCAGCCCCGTCTACATGATGCTCCAGACGAATTGCAACGGAGCTGCCGAAACCGACCGATGGCTCTTGACGAAGAACCCTAGAAAGCTTGAGCCGGATCAAGTGCGAGATATCATCTGCGTTTTCCCCAAAGGGTTCAAGCACCAAGAAGGACAGCCTCCGGGCTCTATAGTGTCGGCCGTGTTGCCTGGCGTGTACACGTCCCTGCCGTCCGCCCTGGATATCACCATCCACGAGCGTGATCCAGCCCTCCATGTTGGTCTCAAAGATTTGCAGGAGCAGGCTATCATGAACATCGACTGTCAATCTTCGATCCCGTCCATCATGATCAAAATGGACAAGACCGATATGCACTTTCCAGTCAAGTCGCTCCTCAGCCAGTTGACTCCCCCTTCTGGCACAAACAGCATGGCAGCTTCGCCCGATATCTGGTTCACGATTGCTCAGCATGAGATCAAGGATGCATTGGCACTGGCGTCTTCTGCCATCAACAAATTGCCGGCCTCAGTATGCGCTGGACTTCTTACAGTTAGCGACATCGTGCTGGATTCTGGTGATGCGTGCTACAAATGCTCGCCGACCGCTCCAAAGGCTCTTCATCACTGGGATGCGGATGGCAGCGTTGTACGAATCGAGAACGAGGCAGTGGCGACTCAAGCGGAGCAGGCTATGTTGCGACGACCAGCTCCTCTCGAGATCCAGGCCCGACTGGAGCCGAGTGAAGCTAATGAATACAATGTGCTGAGCATGAGAATTCTGCTCAACCCAGCGTCGCTCGCGCACCGGGCGCATGGTTACTTCCCGGTAGGCAAGGACATCATGTCGCCCATGGTCCGCTCACCTCGCGGAAATGGCAGTTTCCGTGTGGAAACGAGCTATCACGAGCCTAGCCTGAAGGGATTGCCCCCCTTCAAGGATAGCATGGTCGCCGTTCAGGCAGATTCATTTCCTCCTCAGGGCGTCTTCCAGCCGCCCCGGTTTCTGCAGAATGGAATGATTCTTCGACAAGACCAAGTCGAGGCTTGTCAGTGGATGCTGCACCGCGAACAAGACGAACCGTTTACTGAAAGGGAATTTGAGGAGCGTGTTCTTCCATCTGTGAACGTGCGCTTGAGTGCTGTTGCCGAGCTTGAGAATTATGCCCGAGGAGGTGTCCTTGCACACGACATCGGCTACGGCAAGACTATAGTTCTACTTGGTCTTGTTGATCATACAACGACTGATGGGCATGCAGAGTTTTCTATTCTAGAGCGTTCCAAGTGGTTGGGAACCACGGCGTTCATTCACATCAAGGCCACTTTGGTCATCGTGCCACCCCATATCGTGTCGCAATGGGCCAAAGAAGCTAAGAGATTTGTTCGTCAGCTCAGAGTTCTGGTGCTCACCAAAACGACTGATATCTCACGGGAGAGCATGGAAGCAGCAGACATCATCATTGTCAGCAGCACCCTGATGTCTTCCGAGAAAAACATTGACAAGCTCGCTGCAATCGCCCAAATGCCATCAATCCGTCAGAAGAAGTCGAACCGAGACTCCCAGGACTGGCATTACGAAGTGGTTGAAACCATCAAGCATGCCGCCTATGACCACAGCAACCCTGACAACCCGAACAATGCGCATGTCGAGGCGAGAATCCAAGGCCGCCGCACCATCAGCAATGATTGGGTCCGGAAAGCCGCGGCCGACATAGTGGGAGCTAGCGATCGGAAGACGCAGCAAACCGCCAAGGCGACACCCAAAAAGAAGAAGGGCAAGGCAGCAAAGCCCAAGACGGCCGTCACCATCGATGTGAAAGAGGCATTCCAGAATGGCGAGGTACTTGAAATGTACACTTACTGCCGCGTGGTCTTTGATGAGTTCTCGTATGAGAACACATCCGTTGCAACCTTCTTCCAAAACGCTGTCGCGTCCTCGAAATGGATCCTCTCAGGTACACCGCCTACCATCAACCTCGGTCAGATCTGCGAGACTGGAGCGTTGCTCAATGTTCATGTTGCGCGACCGACACCATCAATGCCGGGATTCTTCCCCAATGTCACGACTGGGCCCAAGGTATCCGAACTGACTGACGCCGAAACATTCCGCAGCTACACAGAGCCCTTGTCCGCCCAGCTCGCGGCCGATCGCCATGATCAGGGACAGCGATTCCTTCTTCACTACTTGCGGAAGAACAAGATGGAGGTTCCAGGAGTGAAATTAATCGAGGCCGCCTGCTTCACTCCCATGAACACTCAAGAAGCCTTGCTATACAATCTTGTACAACAGGTTCTTCATGATGCCAAGTGGGACGTCGATGGCATGTCCTGTGGTCTTGATACTTTCCTTCGCACCATCTTGAACGAAGAAATGACTCAGAGTGCCGGTTCAAAGGTCAAGGCTGCCGGAAAATCTATCTGGTCGGATGCAGTCGACGCGTTAGTTCTCTTGTCTTCGTTGTCCGTTTCTTCCGGCCGAAAGGGATTCGAGGGCATGGGGTGGACAGGACCCAACGCGAAGCTGACTCTGGAGCATCTCAGCAACAAAGCGTCTGCTGCAGCTGGTGATCACCTTGCCCGTTGCACCCGGATTCTGGTATCTCTCTTCGACAAAATGATGTACCTGGCGAATATGGTCTGCAACGACGCTGGTACAGGCAGTGGGAAAGCTAAGAAAGATGCTTACTTTGGTCATATGGAGGAAATTTTCGATTTCATGAGGAACACCAACGGCGACTCTGATGATAGTGCGTTCATCAACTATCTCCATGAAGCGATCGTCCACCGAAGCTCGATCCGCCCAGATTACATTCCTACTCGAGAGAACTATTGGGACTGCAACGTTTGGTCCGAGTGGATGGGTGGCCCTGGAACATACAATTCTGCCAATTGGTGGCTTCTCGACTCGGATCACGATCTGTCCGATGGTGAGTTGGACAGCTTGCAGAACCGGTGGGTTGGCTCTGGTGGTGACCAGAGCGACGACCGAGAGGCTCTCATCGACCTCATTCGACAAGAGCAGGACAGCCAGGATAAATGCGAGGAAATGGCTTTGACTATTGGACTGAAGAACACTGGCGACATGGCGGCTCAACTTCTAAAGCATTTCGATGGAAAAGCCACCAAAGACGACTATGAATTCGGCATTCAGATTCCAGCTCACCGACCACAGAAGGGCAAGACGATTAAACCCCGTGGACAGGCCATTGACGAGACCTTGAACAGTCTCATATTGGTTGTGCAAAGCGTCCAGGCTGGCATCAAGATCACGACGGAGGCATGGCGGCGCTGCATGTTTCTGATGAAGTTGAACCATGTTCTTCATGGAAGCCAAAGCCCGCTGTCCACCACCTGCAACGTCTGTGATGGCGTTACTGCTGATTCTGACATGTTCCATTCTATTGCATGCGGTCACTCGCTTTGCAAGGACTGCTTTGGTGCTTTCACTGAGGCTGGTGGTCAAATGTGCCCCATGCAAAGCTGCAAGGCATTCAGTCGTGGATCATTTATCCCTAGCGAGATATTTGCCACGCCCGCCAATCTGCAGCACGATCTTTCGGCCGTTCCTAGTGCCAAGGTATCCGACATGGAGAACCTCATGTTCAACAACGTCCTTGATGACGAGAAGGTCCTGATCTTTGCTGCGTACGCGGGCATCAAGAAAGAGGTCTACGACCACCTCATTCGCAGCAACAACGGCTTTAGCGTTTACATGACCGACGGAGGCGACGAGGACTCGAATCAGATTGAGGCATTCAAGGCGCACCATGGAAAGGCCGTTCTGATCCAGAGTCTTATGTCTTCGGAGTCCGCTGGCACAAATTTGACCGAGGCGAACCATCTCATGTTTGCTGGAGTTCTGTATACAGACTCGGACAGCTACGACATGTACATGAAACAGGCCAAGGGACGCATCATTCGATATGGACAGCAGCGTCCCGTCTTTGTCTACCACTTCATCACTCCGGCCACGCTTGAATTTGATATCTTCAACAAGCGTCATGGCAACCGCATCCGCCACTTCGGTGAGGAAGGACGCATTATTATCCCGGTCACTGAGGACGGAGAGAAGGACCCGAGATTCCCTCTGTATTTCCGTCCATACTTGGAGACCGCATCGGCTGACAAGCTTCTGCGCTCCGTGGAATTCGAGGAGTACGAGAAGTGAATGGCAACCCAGGGCATCGACTGCAAGAGTCTGATGAAGATGTCTCATTCACGTTACCAAAGTCTCGGCAAGAGCGATGACTCTCGAGTTTGCTCAGTTCGGGAGGTTTGGGAGAGGGAGATTTGGAATGAGAGGTTTGGAATGGGAGGTTTGGTATGAGAGGTTTGGTATGGGAGGTCTGGAGAGGGAAGTTTGGCAAATTGTTTTCAGGAGGGGATTCTTAATGCTGTTTGAGTACATCACGTTTGGACCGGCCGAAGGTGGGAGGCGGATATCGAACGAGTGGAACGGATCTGGTTTGTTTGCAGGGCTCGAGTTTGACAAGGTAGCACAGAAAATATCTAAAGATCATTTGATCACCAAAACGACGTTCCACGTAATTCTCAATCGCCTATCTAGGGCGTGATCGAGAGAGCCAAGAAGCAATAGTTGCCCGGCATGGCTTGGCAACTGTGTGAAGTTTCATACCCTCGTGACCTTTCGCCTCTACGTGAGATCGTGACCAATTTGATGGCATTTTTTTAGCTTGGTTAACCGCTCCTTTGCCCAGTCACAGAGGCGCCACCTTGCACTCTTTCAACATGCCCAGGCAGACTCGGGCTATATTCCTTTCCCTTGCTGAACAGACATCGTACACACAAGCGCCATCATCAAGTGTTCCCTATCGCCATTGACTTACCGCCCTCCTGCGGCAAAAAGCATATCTCAGTCATCCGCTCCGCTCACAACTTCGCAACAACAGGCATCCTCTCAGGAACCTGCACCACGATACCCGCCTCCTCACCCGCGCCCGCGAACTCCACCTCCTGACAATCCTCCACGCCCACGCCGCTCGCAAACTGCGTCACGACAAAGTCGATCGCCGTACCCTGCGGTCCCAACGCAACCATGGGCGCGTGCCACGTTCCCGCACCGTAGGTCACGGCCTGGCCCGGGGACGCCACGAAGGCCTTGAGGCCCTTGATGTCCGGTAGACCCCGGCCTTTGCCGCCGGTGGCCGGCGCCGGGAGGGAATTCGTCTGCGCGCTGGGGGTCTGGAGGGTAGGTGCCACGATGACGAGGTACGCCGCGCCGCTTACCGACGAAGAAGCGGAAAAGGGGACGAACGTCTGCGTCGTGAAGGGGTGTCGTTCCAGCACGCTCACTCTGAAGCGGCCGCCCCTGCTGGGGCCGGCGTAGGTGTACGGCAGCAGCGTCGAGATGGGCGGTTGCGCCAGGGGCGCGGCGGGCTCGAGCTGCCGCGCGGCGCAGGAGAAGATGCTCACGATGGGGCGGCCGGCGCGGGAGGGCGCTTGCGGGTAGAGGTCCAGAGGGGAGGAGACGTTTTGGTACTTTATGGCTGTGCCTTGGTTTGCGGAGACGGCGCTGAAGGAGGCGGATACGGTGGCGGAGAGGGAGGCGGCGGGGCGGACTTCCGGGTGAGGGTTCTCGATCACGTCGCCGAAGGGGGCGAAGGCGGCGCGGGTGAGGGGTTCCGCGGGGATTTGGAGGGTGAGGGGCGTTGTGAGTGTAGTTGGCGGCATTGTGGTGGTTCTGGGAGTGTGTTTGATGTCACACACGGTGTGAGGTTGGGTTCGTTTCTTGGTTTGATTGCTTGCTTTGAACTGTCTGAAATGGCGGGTGAATTAGGGTAGGTATAGTATGGCTTGGTAAGTGGCGTATGAAGGAAGGGCGGGACGGATTGAGTTGAAGTGAGTGAGTTGAGGTCGGAGTAAGCTCGATGACTTTCATGAGCTTGGTGGTTCGGGGTCGAGGTGAGAGGGGAGCTTGGGGGAAGCTTCCGCTTTAGGCATGGCCCGTACCCTCCACCGAGCCTCGGCGCATGGGGCCTGATGGAGTCTGATAGGGCCGCCGGCGATGACTCCGCGGGGTCATTAACAATTGTCATCGAAGCTTAGCATTCTCCAGCTCCACTCCCGTTGGACGGCACCCCGGGGAACGCACTGTCTCGGACTCCCCAACTGCAACGTCTCTCAACGCTCTGGTGTAACTGTATGTGGATGGCCTATGAGACGCGGTTTTCCGGACCTTGCAGTACTCATGCTTGATCTTTCCATGATCGGAGATTTTGGGCTGAATTGCATAAAGGCTGTTGTTATCATGGACTCTCACTCATTCAATATACGGGATCTGTGAGACACAACAAGTTGAACGTAGATCATCGACAAGATTTACCCCAACATATTCCAGGGCTTTATCTTGGCTCAATGCTCAACCATGCGGTGTACTCTCTCTAGCGCGTTATCACGAGATGCCGAATCTTTGACTCATGGCCTAGCTCGGTAAATCTGTCCAGACTGCGGCCGTGTTCTCAACGCGTGGGGCCAGCAAATAAGTCTTCGATCATAAATTTTCTGTCCACCTTGCCGATTGTCAAGAGAGAGAAATTTGAGGCTCTGTAAACATTATTTAGATTCATATTGATTGACTACAGCAAAGGAAGCTGGAAAGGACTGCTCTGAAGGCTGACCCTGGATGTCGGCAATCCTTCTGAGCGCGATATTGCTTAAGTAACTGCAAAAGGCTATACTAGGAACACTGCAGAGCCACCTTTCATGGTCCTGCCGAGGTTGAAAACGGCTCGGCTACCTCACGGCACCCTGAGAACTTGGAGGGACAGTTCTGGACTACTTCCAAGGCTTCTCGGCTGTCTGTCACAAACTCTACGTCGTCTGATGTCTCTTCCAAATCCAGGCATGTGTGGGGACAGAGTTCACGAGTACTAGGTTTTGGGGAAGCCTCGGCTCGAGAGCCTTTTTTTTTATATTTCGGTTATACAATGGGCAAGGGTTCAAAAGTCTGAATTGCGAGGTCTGCCATGTATACCAGCGTTCCGGCAAACATGTCGACTATGGAGGTGCTCCTCGTGGTGAAGTTACAGATTATTCTGCTAGCACCTCTAATTGTACATTCCGTCTCCTGCTATGCCGCAGATGGCAAGCCCGAATCCCCTTCCTCGCTACTTTCGCCAACTTGACGGAATATCCTCTCAAACACATCAAACTTCAGTTCGATGATACCATCATGATCAGTCCCGGGAACAACGCAGCTAGAAAACTCAATCACGTCACGGCGCTGCTCAGCCCTCCAGCAATCCTCAAACCACTTGGGACCCTTATCAACACCAATCATCTGGTCCTCCTCCGCCCAAAACACATCAACCTTGAGCTTTGCAGCGCCCTTGACGCCAGCATCAAGATTGTGTTCAGCCTCCGCCAGCAGGGTGACGAGCTCGTCATAGTCCTTCCATGAGCCCCAGTAATCCGAGTGCCCCGCCCTCTTCAGCAGCAAAATGGCATCCTGGCTGAGCCCTCTCGTATCCTCAGAATACACCTTTTGAATGAGCTGCGGCCAAATCTTCTCTTCAAACTCTGCCATAGGGTTCATTTCCACCGCAGGAGGAGGCGTAGGATCGGCAGCAGAGCCCATCCGCATCGACGCAGGCAGCAGCCCGCTCACGGCCTGCATACTAGGGAAAACCCCACTCACCGCGCCCGCCAGAGGCGCAACATGCTTCAGCGAGAACCCGGCGAGCGTGTGGAAGCCGCCCAGCACCGTCTCCGGCAGCCCGCCCGCGAGCGTCATGAGCGTGGCACCCGAGCGGGACTGGTGGACCCACGGCGCGGCGAGGGCCACGTAGGGGCGCTCGGGGGAGAGCAGGTGACGCAGGTGGAGGACCGTGTTGAGGGCGTAGATTGTGCCGCCGCTGTGGGCGGCCAGCGAGACGTGGCGGACGGAGAGGTGCGCGAGGAGGGCGGGCACGATTTCGAGCCAGAGGCGGACGCGGTCGGGCGCGTCGACGAGGGTTGTGCCGCCGAAGCCTGGTCTGTCTGGGTGGATTATGCGGACCTTGTGTTTCTTTGCCAGGGCGTCTTTGGCGATGTGAAGGTAGCGGCTGTTTGTTTGTCAGACCTTGAGCGATGAGGTGTGCCGTGATGCGCGAGGGGTGTTTGTGAGTGAGATGATTGGCTTACCTTCCCAGGAGGGGGCCGCAGAGGAGCAGGACATGCTCGCGCTCTGGGTTGTCCAGGTTGCGATATCCGTAGTCGCAATACGTGACTTTGAATGGATCCGGGCGGTCGTTGCCGGGGGGTAAGGTGAAGGACTGGTGGAATCTTGGATCGTTGAGGTACTCTTCCGGGTCCGGATCCGTACGCGATGGCCCCGATTGAACCGGTTGATGGGCGTTCTGCGATGCCATTTCCATTGGTGCGTGAGCTTGCATCAAATGATCTAAAGTGGTTCGCTCATAAGTTTTTGTATAGAGTTCACTCCACAAGATCAAGGGACGGTTTCTAAGTACAAAGTTATCGATGATGTGCTTCGAATGAACTTCGCCGGTTTGCATGACCTAGACGGCCCTTTTTGACGTCTCCCGAGTGTGCCACTCGTTAGTTGGTCGAGGCGGGTACCCGGGCTCCTAGTGCTTATCATCAAGGTTGGGTGGCGTGGAGGAAGGATTCCGCCGTAACAGCGCTTTCCTTTTTCTTCGCCAGACTCGATCAGGAAGTTGTCTCACTGTTTTCCCGACGCCAAGTGAGAAAGGCATCGCCAGTCCACCAAGGTCAGCGAGAAAAGTAGAATTCAGACTTTCTACTTCATTGAATTGGATAGGTAGAAAAGAGCATTAGTACCAAGGGATTGCCCAATCACTCTTTCGATGGCGAGATACTATTGACGATCACCAAGTGAGGAAGTGACGTTCATAGTTTGCTCCAAATTACGAAGGCTCTGTCGAAGAGATGAAGGATAACGTCACACCATTATTATCAACTTCTCGTCTTACCACGAGGGGCCGTAGGGAAGATCGACGTTGGGAAAATCTTGAGGAAAAGGTCCCAACAAAGCTGTCAATGAACGCCACGTCTAGAACTATCTGCGAGGAAGAGAGCAAAACTTCCAAAGGTACTTCAGTAGGTAGTTGGAAGAGATGATGACACCCGGGTATTCATAAGATATAGTAGCTCCCACCTCATTCTTGGGGCTATTCCACATATTCACGTCAGTGCCAGGTGTATAACGACATCATGACCCTTTGATACACCTTTGAGAAGATTTACAGGCTCGCAAGGTTGCGTGCCTTGAACTTATATAAAGCCACACTTCAAGTGATCTCCTACCGAACGAGGTTAATTCAGTATACCATCTCCCGGCGCGAGCACAACTCTGCATCGCTCCGTCAATCAGGGAAAACTCTCAAAAGTTTTCCTTCACAAGTCACCATATCATTGCCATACCAACCGAAACCACTTCCCTCAACACATCCAACCCACGCAAAATGCGTACCTCCCTCCTCCTCGCCGGCATCTATGCCACCATCTCAGTCATCGCCACCCCAATAACCCCTCCCCGAACCGACCTCGACGCCGCCAAACCAGAGCCCCTCGCCCAAGACCTCGATGGCTTAGACATCGACAGCGATGCGTCGTCTATGGCGACCGGAGCAGTTCCGAAGCCTGCGACCGGGTGGCCAGGCTACGAAAGACCGTGGAGCAAGAGGCCCCGGCCGTCTACCAAGGACGAGCCTCAGCAATGGAGACCGAAGCTCGACAAGCTGCAGCCTCGGCCCAGACCGGATAACCCGTTCAAGAATCCCAAATGGAGGATCCCGCCCAACGACCCAAACACCTTCAAGGACAGAAACCCGTTCAGGGCGTGGCCGGACAGGGATCCCTTCAAGATGCCCAAGAAGAAGCCGTTCAAGCTGCCGGAGAAGAAGCTCGAGCCCAAGCCCGAGCCGGAGGTGAACATCGAGCCGATGCCGAAGCAGCCGGAGCAGAAGGACGAAAAGCCGGAGAAGAAGGACGAAAAGCCGGAGCAGAAGGACGAAAAGCCGGAGCAGAAGGATGCAAAGCCGGAGCGGTACCCGACTCTCGAAGAGTTGATACAGAAGAATGCACAGCCGGCGCGGTACCCGACTCACCATGAGTGGACCGAGCAGAGCAAGGAAATGGCCATTGCGAACAACTATGAGCCGTGGCACGGAAATGAAAGAGAGAACCCGAATGCGGCGCCGAAGAACGAGCCGACTTATGAGCCGCATGTGGATGATGCCCGAAGGGTTGGGAATTAGACGCTCGATTGTGACCACCAAGGACACGAACGTCTTTGCTGCTGCACCTTTTTGTCTCTCACGTCTGAAAATTTGAGGATATTCGGGAGAAGGAGAGGGAAGATGTAGAGGTGCATTAAGGTCAATGACGATAAGCTCTGGATGTTTGAACCTGTATGTCTACCAAGCCATAACGTGTTGTAGGAACAAGGACGTCAGGGTGTTCATCTCTCAGTGCGAGTAATTCCAACTTTCAAATGATAAATTTAGGCAAGCAAGCATGTTGCTAGAAGCCTTCCAGTAGTCACATAGTTCTTGAATCTACTACACCGTTCAGTAATTAAACGCGAGCCCGTCTGGCCATTCAAACGGAGCATATGGAGACGACGTCGCGGTTTGCCGGTGCTGCAAGACACCTAAGCTAATTCATCATGACCCTAGCCAGAAGCCATCGTCGAGTCTGCCCAGATCATACTTCGCAACTTCACCTCACGGTGAATAGTCTTTTGTGTGACCCTGAGCAGCTCCTGGCCCAACACTATCGTCGAACATGGAGAAGTTTTCTCGACAGATATAGAGACTTCTCCTCGTACTCGACGATAAATAAATCCCACCTTGATAGATCCCTACCCATCGAACATTCAGACCTCTGATGACGCTACGAAAATGAAATCATGTCTTTTACGCGCCATCTCCATCGGGTCTCGGTGACTTCTAGAGGGAAAACAAATCTTCTTCGTCAAAGCAAAGGAGAGGCAGAATATATGGAGACGTCGATGGTCGTTAGACTTGTTATTAGACGCTGGAAAGACCATGATCAAGCGCCAAGAGACATTTGGACCCCTTTTCCAAGCAGAAACCCTCCTGAAGGCCTTGTAAAAGGGGGTCACACAAGTCAGGTTGCCTTTCTCATGACACTGAGAGTCCTAATGAGATTGCAGACAGTTTATTTCGAAGCCGCTGATCCCAAGGTAAAGAAAAACAGCCGTTCATTCTGAGCAGTGTGATTCTTGTCAAGATGGGGCAGACCGGAAGTCTCGTCCGCCCAGAAAACCCGGTAAAAGGGTCCACGGAGGTAATTTCGAATTACCTCATAGACCACGGCATAGCGCACCTTGTCCAAGATCAATCTTGCCCATTAGCTCCATATATCACCACGTATAAGCGCCAGCCCGAGACGGATAGCCGTGGCTGAAAGACAAGATCTCTACATTTCTGGTTATCCACTGATGGATCACGGGCAACCCTCGAGGGCCTTGTCCAAGGTCCTGAGCTCAGTGACGACATCAACCCACGCCACGCTCCGAGTACGCGCTGCAGAAAACCTACGGCACGTCGCTAGGACTCAGGGAATGAGGACTACTTGTACATCTGCCCCGGGTATCGCAACAGGCTGGCTTGAGTCAAAAATGGCTGTACTAGTATTAGCCCCAAATCACGTCGTTAGGCTTCTAGGACTATGGCCTTGGCCACAACTCGGCTCCCTTTTATACCCGCATTACGTACACGTGAGGAGAATCAACCAGTAAAGAGCCACGGAATACTTGAAAGAGGCTGATACAACCAGAGAGGTCACTTTCAACTTCCTTGGTAGACTGAAGTTAATGTGCCATGGCAAGTAGGCGCGTCTCCTCGACAGGAGCAAAGAAAGAAACGGGGAGTCTTCATCGACGACTAAGAGCCGACCTCATTGGCATTGTCAACTTCCTGAGTCCTGAACTCTAGTCATGCTCTTTCGCGAGCCGAAATCTATGGATGAGGTTGTCTCACTCTAAGGATCTCAAGTTCGGAGTGAGCAGATACACAGCCAAGCGATTTCCATCATATTTAAAACGGGAAAAGACATGCAGAGCTTTCGCAACACCTTACTGAATGTAGGTAAAAATAAAAATAAAACAAAATAAAAAATAAAACACGAAAAATGACCATGCACAAATCGATGTAGTGAAATCATTTACACCGACGTGTGCCCTTTGACTCCACCTCAATAGTTGAATACACGACTAAGGAGGAACTGATTCGCGTAGAGCTTGTTTCTTCTTGTGACAAATGAGTAGAGAAAGATGGCCGACCTGGATGCCAACGCCAGTGTTTTGCCCACAAGCCATGACGAGCGAGTTCACTACTGCAAGATTCCCCAACCTATTTCATCCAGATAAACAGAGAAAAGAGCGCAAAGTTTCGGAAACAAATCAAAGGAACCGCCTCGACCTCGTCCTCGAACACTTCATCGCCAGTCCCCAACAACGACTGGCTCAACTGCGATGAACATCACCCAAAGTTCAGCAAGCTACCGGAAGCTAATCAGTATGATTCAATCAATCCAGAAACCTTCCCTCTCGGAATTTTCAAAACAGATCACCAAAAAAACAAAAGTCTAACAAATGCATAAAGCATCCAACTTGGACGTGGGCAGTAGGGGAGCGGAACTAAAGCAGAGTCCGAGTACACACCAACAACCCTAAACTCTTGACCCCGCTCTTTGGTAGAGAGCCAGCCATCACATCGTCAATTTAAACTCCTTCTACCATAGGGCGATGGAAACAACCTACAGCAGGTCGGAAAATAAAATTGCTTACATCAACACAAATCAGCAAAAGTCAAAGATCAAGCGCATCCTCAAACACCACCTGATCGTCAATCGGATGAAGCATGTCGACTGGAGGTACGTCTGGATGCCCCGCAGCGATGAGCAATCGGCGGGGTCGCGACCAATGGAGAGAGCCTGGAGAGCTGGCCTTCTTAGAGCGGATCTCGGAATGGGAAAACATCCAATGACCCGGCGTTGTGGCAGAGTGGTCTAATGCGCAAGACTAGAAATCTTGTTCCTTCGGGAGCGTCTGTTCGAATCAGGCCAACGTCGACGTTACCTTTTGTCAATTCCCCCAAGGGCTCTTGATAATTCTTTTTGCGTCCCGCGAAACATCGATGACGGTCTCGCCCCAGGAACGACTCGGGCCCGATTGGATCTGCGCGTAAGGTGCAGCGTATGAGCGGTCTGCAACGCAGCGACTACAAAGAGGATCAGCCTGTCACGGTCGCAAGTTCGAAGATCTGAAATGTGTCCCGCACGTTTTAGAAACAGACAGGGGCATGCCAGCTTACCGCTCAACAGAAACGTGTAACTCTGGACTGAACGGAGAGGCGAGACGGCATCAGGTTGTGTCCATGTTCCGACGTCTCGAGTCGAGGGGTTAGCGCCCAGAGCGAGGATTAGTTAGACCTTGAGCCGCCTGACTCGATTTCATCTCGACATCTCGTTTGGGGGCGTTGATAAGTACGCCAAGCCACGGACTCAATGCGTGAGTTTCTCTTTACGGACGTCTTGCTGTTGGCCTGCTTTTTCTTCGGGAAGGTCTGGCTAAGCTCTTGGAGACTCTCGATTGATGGGGAATAGGGGGGAAGAAACGATATCTGAGCGATAGGCCACTGATTGGAGATCCTCATCAGCGAGCTATCCAAGGTACAGACCGGCTGGCAATGATTGATAGCAGACCGGCTGCGCCGCTGACCGCATTAGTCGGTGTGGCCACCTGAAAACCGCATTCCCGACGATATATTCCCGCGCTGCACTCGATAGGGGGTTTCTGCGGAAACGAGCTAAAGTGTCACGCGAGCTCTCCATGATTTCTAGAAAGACGTGTTGATGAAAGGGTCCTGGGATCGTGTCGCGTCGCGCCTTGGATTCGGTAATCGACGGTGCTGTATTTAGCACCGCCGTTCGGCGCTATATTCATCCTCTGGTACGAGGTTGCTTGCACTAGAGAATGCGGCCTGCTTCCAAGACCAGCGGTTTTGATCTCGCGTGATAGCAATTGGGGCGAATATGAATTATTGGACGCAATAACTCCCGCTTGACCAGATCTGAGACGATCCAAATGACGAGCAGTTCAAGAGCGGGCCTTTGACAAGTGGCCAAGTGCGATTTCAAGGCCAGTGTCATCTCCCGCACGGCGTCTAAGAAGGCTCCACGAGGGGCAGACCTCATAGCCGTCGAGTTCGATAATGGCAGGTCTCATTTGCCGCCGAAGATCTGTCAGATGACGGTGAGGGGCCCCCAAAGGTACTGAGATGAACCTCCACTGTGACCAGCGACGTTCTCGATTGCCCAGCCCCGTGCGTCTTGATTTGATGCCGTCGATGCTCGACAATCTGGACTTTGGCCAGAGGAAATAGCACTGAGGTCGATGATCGGCCAGTGAGCAGACAGGGAGCCTCTCTTGGGACAAGGTGGAACCAGGTCAGGGGTGGATAGACTGGGTGGGTGGTCAGAGCAGAAAGTCCAGACCAGTGAGTTCGTTGGATGGTGGACCAGAGATTTCGGTCTCGTTCAGTGCCTGCCCTAACCGTGAAAGAGCTCCATGGGCAACTGGAGCCATGCAGCTGGAGCACAAGAGCTGTGTGGCGCTGAACCATTGTATCGCCAAGGACCGAGAGGAAAAGTCACCTTCTGTAGTACGGCCCGGCCGTCAGGCGTAGGGCAGCAGGGCGCCAGGAAGTGAGCACAGCGCGTTAGAGAATCCGAAGCGTTAGTGCAAACTTGGTGCAACTGCCAACGCGGCTTGGAGCTGCAGCTAAAGTGCGGTGTGATGGGCGATTCCCTGAAGAAAACGGTAGCATAGTAATACATAGTAGCATGACAAGGGCGAACCGCGAGTGCATGGAAAAGCCGGTGACCTGCTGCAGACCCTCCCCCGAGACCCCGTCTGACGACCAATATTGGCTCCGTTCAACCCCGGGTCCAAATGCTCTGCATTTTCTGGAGCCTGGACCGAGAAGCGGCGGAGAAGAATGCCCACTTCTTCCACAGGATGCCGCTTGGCGGTTGGTTCAACGGGCGGGCGTGGGTGCATTGGCATTGGAGTCGCTGTCACAGTATTCGGGGGGCATTGCTCAATGCCGATAGCTCTCCATACAATGCGGCCACATTCCATGCTACGCAATGCCCAGTTGTGGGCGCCGTGTCCGTTCGGGCAGCCGGTGCTGGAAGTTTGCAAGTCAAAGACCGCAGCCTGATTGAACCGGGCCTCTTATTAGCAGAGATGACGTGAACCAAAGTTTTCACGTTTGGGGGCTCCAATGACACGCGTCTGAACGTGGAGGGTTCAGCGATGACTTTTCTGTCTCCACGACGACTGAGACGGTTAAAAGAGGCTGATATAGTCCAATGCCGAGCAACAGCAACGTCGCTAAGGTTGCTCGTTGCTGACAATGTGTGGGCTTTGATGGCTCGCTTTCGCCGGTGCAAAAGGCCCGTGGTTTGATATGTGACAGCTTGGCGGTCGAGTAGAGGCGGGTGATGACAGCCTGACTGACAGTCATGACAGCGAACCGCTGTTTTGGCAACAGAGCGTGACGGACGTGATGGATGAAT